ATATACATAAGTCATTTAAAATCTATACATGTAATAAAAATGTAACAGATCGATGGTTGTGCTTGGAAGATATTTGAGAAAAACTATTATTGAGGGTCTTTATTAGAATCTAAAACAACGATTTTAGAATTTTTGTCTGTTTGTCTGTGCGTTTAAGCGCGCTAATCTCAGAAACGGCTTAACCGATTTAGGTGCAGTTTTTACTAATGTATTGTGGTGAGCTTCACTCAACATCTAATATTTGTTTTATTTCAATCGGTTAATAAATAAATAAAAATATGTGAATTGAAAGAATCTAGTATATCTAGTTTAGAAATAAACTACGATAAATTCAAAATAAGGTCTACCATGTACATACAATCCCGATATTCTATTACTATTGGAAGCTTACTTTTATTGCAGGATCTATAAGATATTCATCCAAGTTGTCATGGAAACGAATTTACTGCCAATCAAGTTAATGAATTGTAGGTATCTGGAAGATAAGGGCAATTACATTTTAGGTATCTTAGATGCCACTTCTACAGATGACGTTATATGAAAAAAGTGTAAATACAAAGGTTGTAGATCTTTTTATTACCTACACCTTTGTCATTTAATTTTTTTCCTTAGGACTTGTGTTTTGCCAATAGAAAAAAATAGAAAAAGAAATCAAGATAAACCAGTTTTTTTCCCTTAAAAACTCACCCCCTCACACTTTCCGACCTCAGATCGCCCGTAAATTATTTTGCCTTTCATTTTTGCTCTTCCCTTTCCAATGGATTTCATCCTCTATTATTTTTTTTTTGGTTTCAAATATTGTCGACCCTGGTCTAACTACAGCAACGCTCCGCACAATTGAGCACTTTAAAAGTACCTACTACTTTGGCGTGACCAACAAACTCAGCAGCAGAAAATATAAGAAGTGATTTTTCGCGCTATTCGTGTTTATGCGCCATAGTGCGGCATTATGCTCTGTAATTGGAAAACTCAAATATGTAAATACTTCCTATATTTACATAATTGAGATTAAACTACAACCATCAAGTTTCAAGACCTAGAAGTTCGTTCTCAAAAGTGTTATATTATGGTACTTATGTATGTTTTTCACATTAAAGTAATGAATAAAATGAATTTTCAAGTTTCAACCATTAAGGTTTAAAATTAAATCCGGTTGTTAAATCACATATCTACTTTATATATTGAGTTATTAATCCCTTAACGACCGCAGATACGCCGGCGTTACAGTTAATAATTTCTAATTTCTTAGAAATTTTATTAATTTCTTAGAAATTTACCTGGAGGTGTTAAATTTTTAAAAATCTTTTTTCTCTAACCTACATACTCATCATACATTCCATTTACATAATAACTTTTAGTTTTCGTTTTGATTGCCAATTTGAACAACTCCATGTTGACAAAGGTGCTTGGTAGAATTGTCGTGGTGGGGGGGCTCAGTAGTAGTAGCGAAGCTAAGAAACGCACAGGGAGGTTGCCCACTTCGGTGGGCGGTGGGAGGTGGCCCTCTTCGGGGGGCGGTGTACCTTGCGGGTTGCTCCTGGTACTTCTCTGATAGCAGAGTGGACCTTGGAGCAACCCCATGGTTGTGGTGGTCTGCTTTGGCAGACCTGCCGTCGGAGCGTCGTAGTTGAATGCGTAAGCGATCCTGCGACGCCCCATCAAGACGGGGGAAGGTTTTGTTGGGTTTTAGTGGGTAGTACTGGCTGTATTACGCCGGTGAGTCCCACACGTCGTGCGTAAATGCATTTCCCAACGTTAAAAAAAAAAAAAAAAGGTGCTTGGTAGAAATCGTAGATAGAATGTTTAATCATCTGTCTACGATAGAAATGGATCTTCATTATATGGACAGTGTAGCCAAATTAAGTCCGTTCTCCATAAATTTACGGAATCTAGAAATGTACGAAGTCTGATAATTTTGATTTTTAAAAATTATTTACTTTGTGCTTCATCTACTTTTATTAATTTGTGGATGAGAATTTTCTAGAAACGTCATAGTTACGAATGTAAAATCTACTGAAGATGTTTGGATTTTTGTATCGTGTTAACCGCGTATAAAACTTGGATGAAACTTGGTAGAGTATGCTACACAGATAGATTATATCCTTCACACATTTAAACGTGTCTGTCCCTGAAAACATACTTATATTCTGATAATATGTGCCAAAGAACGTTAAAAACAATAGAAAACACGTTTCACGAGTATATAGTAAAAACATTACGTAATAAATTAAACTCAAAACTAAATTAAAATCGGTTCATCAGTTTGGGTGTTACGATGCCACAGACAGACACAAAGATACCCAGTTTATGGCGGGGGTTAATAAAATTAAATAAAATGTAAATCATATATTATTTTTACAAAACATAGTTTATTAAATACTATATAGGCAATTATTAGCAATTGAATTATTTTTTAACTTACTAATACACCCTGTTTTTCAATTAGAGCAGTAAAGCGCAATATGTAGCATAATGCTAACTTCGAATGTTTCAACAGAACTACAGAAAGCTCCGCATAATCGAGCATTTTGAAAAATATGCTTTGGCGTGATGCGCGCAAGGATACCAATTACCAACTCAGTAGCAATTTTACCTTCTTGTCAGTAATATTTGTTTATATTTTATTTAATATATTTTTATTTGTTTATTACTTTATATACCAGTCATTTTATATATCACCCAATAATATTTATTTTTTAAATTAAGTGTTATGGAGGGTAGAAGTAATTGAAAGGGAGCAAATTAAGGTGGCGCTATAGTAGCACGTGGAAGAATTTTAAAAGGGGCGCCACAAATGATTAGAGTAGGATACTAAATTAAAAAAGAAAAGACATTCTTTTTGCATTAACAACAATAAAAGCATCAAAATAACAAAGATGTATGAACAAAATTTCATAAAAAACAAATCATTATGTACATTATTTCAGGAGATTCACAGGTTATTATTTACTAAATTACAGTTGACTACGTAAATAGTTGAGATTTAAACTCTACTTGAGCAATTAGAAATGCAACTTGAGCAGTGTTTTAGAACTTTGAGCAATTTGAAATATTGTATACATCAAAAGATATAGGAGTTTGAATATACAGATAAATTAATTTTTTTTCAAAGACTTTATTGATTTTTAATTAAATAATTAAAGGTGAGCAATTTGAAAGGGCTACGTAGTTAAATTGAGCTATTGAAAATCTATCGATTAGTATTTTTTTCATTGCAAATATCATAAATTTGCAGGCTGGGGTAGGGTAGGTAGCTGTTTGTGAGAAAGTATATAGGTGTATAGATATTTATCATCTATGTACAACAGTGAATATCTGCACTCGTATAATTTGTGTACAAAGTGTTTTAAATATGAATAAACAAAGTGCATTTATTAATGAAGAAAGTCAAAGAAAAAAAATACTGCATTAATAAAATAAATAAATAATTATAATTGCATAACTTGATAAAAAATGCTATGCAATAGCTTTACTGCGGCAGTCTCCGAGTGTCACATTTAATTTTTTATTTTAATATTACTCTTCATTTCTAATCTGAAGTAAATGAACAAATAAATCTATGAAATAAAATCAAAAGTTCATATATTATTATAAATAAACCCTATCATTTATTTTTTTTATTTACGTAAGTACATATAAAATACCACGGTTTTACATTAAATATTTACTATAATGAATTAAATTTTCTCGTAGTGAGAAAATAAATTTAAGTTTGATAATGCTAACACCGGAATCATGAGATCTCAGCACCAGCACTCAGCAGTCATTTGCAAATCAAGGTGTAAAAGTAACGACAAATAGCGTACCCGTATGCATTCGTTACTATAGCATCAGTACTCGTTACTTTTGAATCGTTACTCGTTACTTTTGATACCCGATAACATACTCGTAGAGCATCGTATCGAGTCGTGTTGCGTATGTATTGCGTACGGTATAAATTATTCGATAAACCGTATATCGTTGACGTCGCGTTGTTTTCTGTGGAATAATGCAATTGCACGATCAACAAACTATTTCAATTGGAGAGTTACATGATATCCAGAACCCGTAAATTTTGATTATTTATAAATCTATATAATTTTTAAAAACTTTACTAACAATATTTTTTATTAATAATTTTTGAAATTAAATAATAAATATAAAAATAGGTAATTTAAAAATGAATAAGTAACGGCATCTATCACGTTAGTGTGACGTTGTAATGCATATTTTATTTAAAATCAATTGCGCGAATGATTTATCAAATCATAATCTGTATGTATTACACATAATCACATGATCATGTCTCACGTAGGATAAATAGATAATTATTGTATTACAATATTGTACACAATTATTACTTTAAAAGAGCCGTTGTTGAGATTCTCGCCGGTTATTCTCAGCAGAAAACTTTATTCCGAGCCGGCGGTAGTTCCTAACGGACTAACATTTTATTTTAATTTAAAATGTAAAATTGACGATTCAAAAGAGCTTGTAAAAGTTTATTTGAATAAAGTATATTTTGATTTCATTTGACATAATCATTTAGTAAAAATTATAAGTATTTGTTGGATAAAAAACTAAAAATGTGTTCTAAATATAATGGTTGTTTCTAATTGAAAATTGTTTCTAAACAAAATTTCTAAGATCTGGAAATCATGCAACTCGAAATAAATAAATAAACTCTCTAATTTACTCATCAATGGTATTAAGTATTAACTGAAAGTTGTATTTTGCTCAATAAAAAATCAATAAAAATATTAGTACGAAAATATGTACGGAAAATGCGAGTAACGAAATGCATTCGTGAGTAACGTTTCGGTACTCGGTACTAGATGGCGTACCCGTTATTCAGTAACGAATACCTACATACGGTTTGCTACAGCTCTATAATTGCAAATGTCAAGTGTCAACAGCAAAAAGTTTGTAGTAGCTCAACCTCAAACAAATTAGAGACAAAACAAACTGTGATGAATACTTCAAAATAATTTAAAATGAAGTGAATAAATTAAGTGCAGTATATGTTAACCATGTTTAATTACGACTTGAAGTTTTTAACAAACGACGAATCTCTGTATTTGAAGAGCAGTGACTTTAAAAGTTTCAAGTGAGATTTGTTGTCATAAGTAAACTTTTTTAAACTATATTTTTCATTCTTTTTTTAAGAAGGTAGTCCATTCTTTTTTTATGAAGGTAGGTAATATGTTTTCAGATACGAAACCAAGAAAAAACTTGAAGAATCGTTACATGATATAGCAAAAAGAAATTATTATGAACGTCGCGGAGGATACTGGCGATCTTCTAAACTCCGACAATTGCGACAATTAGAATCTAAACTTCATGATAAAAGTATTGTTTTATGTAAATGGATTAGTGACTCCCTAGTCGCCATAGTATTTTCTTCAGGGGTCATAGCTTATATTACAGTTAAATGTGATACTCTTGATGTAACACAGATACTCTTTGATAGATATTGTATTGGAAAATTGAATAGTCAGACAGTAATATCAGGTTTGTTTAATAATAACTTATATATATTATTATTATAAAGAGGTAAAGTTTGTGACGTTGTAGGGGGTAATCTCTGCATCTACTGAACTGATTTAGATAAAATTTGGTAAGAAGATAGTTTGAGACCCCAGCAAGGACATAGGATACTTTTTATCCTGGAAATCATCTTTCATTCCCATTTTCACCCCCTTAATGGATTAAGGGGGTGAAAATGGGAATGAAAGATTGTATGGGGAAACAAGCTAGGGACGAACCTGAGCGAAGCGAGAGTGAGTCGCTAGTGATTAATTATAAAATAATTGTTTTATTTTACTGATTTAAAATTGTTTTCATGTTTTATTTACCTTTTTCAGTTGTTTTATGTAAAAAGCTTTTATTATTTACACATGCAGAAAAAGTAGCCACCTTAGTTACTTTTGGAAAAAATGTTGATAATCATTTGCCATGTCAAATATCTGATCTAGAGCCTCATGTGCAAGTAAGTTATATAAGCACTTTTAACAAACTTGCTAAATTTTACTAAAAATCTTACACGATAATAGGCCAAAGTCTACATTATAAATTATAATAAATGCACTTCAGTCAATCTCAAATGTATAGTATTTTTGTAATAATGACAAATTAACTTAGAAATTTTATGCTACAATATTTACAAAATATATCTGTAAAAAATATTATGTAAGCAATAAGCATACTATTATGAAAGTATTTATTTTTTTAGACTGTAGAACTTGGTGGAATTTCTCGAAGAACGGAAAGACATGTATCATGGTGTGAAAATCCAAATTATGTTAGGATTTTGGTTTGGGGTGCAGCTATATCTGAACCAGCTCCATGGAGTCCAGTGCTTGAAGATCATGCAAATTTACATTTGTATCAGATAACTGGGTAGGTAAATACTAAATAGTGTTAAAGCCCATCCAGGTAGGTATGAATTTCTTTATAAAAATGTATTTTTCATTGTAATGAAATTTAAAATTTAATTATAAACCCAATTCTTAATTACTTAAGTTAATTTGTCTCTACAAAAGAAATGCTTATAAGTAATTAGCATTATATATAAAATATTAAGTCATTGTTACCTCACTTACAAAATTTGTTTTTGAGATAGAGATTTTAACTTTTTAAAATATTTTTTGTAATTAAAGTATTTAAATCATTTTTTTTACAAGCCTATGTACATAAAGTGAAAAATTTGATCCAATTAAAACATGCAAATACATAAATTTAAATATTTATGCATAATGCTAGAGCAAACAGAGTCATATTATAAATAATAATGAAGTATATTTTAGTAGTAAATATTAATTGACTATCTTTGTCATTTTTATGTTTACAGCCATCAAGTTACTTTAATAGCATATCATCAGCTGGAAAATGAAGTGTTATTTGCTGAATTATCACATAAGCATGATCATATTGTTCATGTTGCAGAGCAAATTTCCTGTCACAAGGTAAGAAAATAACTTACCTAATATGTACATATATATTTTTAAATAATACTCCTTGTTAAAAAATACAAAAATCATTGTCTGTAACAACTATTTAATGACCTTAGAGATGTCTAAAACTTTAATTTCACCCGTGACCATATTTATTATAGCATTCAATTAAAATAAAACAAAAATCTAAATAAATCTGCAAAAAAATATTTGTGAAAATCTAAATATATATCATATATTTAAAAAAGATGTAATATGCTAATAAATCATTTTATGTACAGTGAAATGTTAATAAAATACTTAAAATAATATATAATGAGAATGATAAAGTTTGTTGTTGAATTATTATTATTTTTTTACCTTTTTATAACCAAAATCTTACATGTATTGTATCATTTTAAGAACTAAAAGTAAGTAATATTGTCGCTTATGCATTTCAGGTTGGAGTAAGTCTAATGTGGGTTCGGTATGAAGTACCAACGAACAACCGAGTGATAAAGTTGTCATCCCTATGTGAGAATGTAACCAGAGTGTCCCTGCCGGCGCCCGCGAAGATGGTGAGGCGCTCCCAGTGTGACGCAAAGCTCCTTATAGCGTGCATAGATGCTTCCATACATGTAGTACATCATACTGTTGGACTGACGCATTCTACTAGAGCTGGATTTGTGAGTTACACTTAATTTTTTAAACAACTTTTGTGCTGTGAATATGAACAAAAACAACTATCAAACACAAAAAAAGCCATCTGTCTGTCAACTATAAAATTACTTCGAGACGTCTAAAACTTTAGTTCCTCCCGTGGCCATGATTGCTGTAAACTGTAAAACATTCGAAACGTTGGGCATCAAAAATCAAAATATATAAATCTGCAATAAATCAAAATATAAAAAGTCTGAAAAGATAATTTAATTAAAAAAAAACAAGATATAAAATGAACAAGACAATAATTAATTATTAATATTTCTGATAAAAACGAAAAATAAATAACATTGGTTCAAGCTTAAATTATGGATGGGATTGTATCAAATAAGTAAAATAAGTTTGAAAAGATGGCTCTTATTAGAAACTGGACCTTATTGGGGAAACTTACCTTATAAACAGATTTAGTTTTAAAGAAGTTTAAATGCTTTCTAACCAAAAACTGTTATTAAGACTGCTCGCTAGACTGAAAATTCCAAAAAGTTTTTAGTCTGACCATGATTTTAAATCTATTAGTAGTAACCCAATGATAAAACTTTGCCTGGCTAAAGATTAAACAGTAAATATTTATATAAAGTAAATGTATGCTATTATTTATTAGAAAAATGCGTTATTATTTAAATAAAATTATAATTTGGGTACAGATTAACAAATGGCAAAGGGCAAAAGGCTCCTATACATTTATTATCTGAAGGGTACAGGCAAAGAACAAGTAATGTCACTTTTTTTTTTGTTTTGTACTGTTAATAAATCTATGTCTATAGTAATTGCATTCCCAACCATTGGTATATACAAATACTCAACGTATGTCGTCAAAAATACGTTTTTCTATGCCCAAAGCGAAAAAAAAAACAGAATGTCCATGACATACCGGTAAAGAAGTAGGATTGTCCAAAAATGTACATAGTTAAACTGCATACTTTACTCAATAAAAATATTTATACTTCTAAACTTTAATTTTTTTCTTTTATTCTATTCATTAGGATAAATCCCTGTTCTTTACCTGTACCATTCATCTGAAATCTGCTATAGGCTTCTACATATATTTATTGTATAACTCGCGTCACCTAAAGAGAACGCTGGAAGAAAGTGGAGAGGGTATGTTTGTGCATGGGTATACTCGCTTACAAAAGTACTAAGCCTATTATTTTATTTTTCATAGCATTTCGCTCGCGGCTTCATATATTAGTTATTGGTAGGGACATAGATAAATATATTAGATAGAGTATCATTAAATAGAATTCTATTCATTATTAAAATATATTTGATTCAGTGCAGAATGTTTAATCTACTTACAAAAAATTAAAGTAATACGTTTAATACATTTTTTTTTTACTATTAACTGCATTATTTTTAGACTCTCTTTGTAAAACAATATACGTCAAAAACAATTTTTCTCTTTTCTATATATAAAACCATTTCGTAATTAAAAACTTATGTGTGCGCGATGGTATTTCAAATTGACGAACCAATAGCGCGCCGGCAAGCATGCGGCGCGTGCCCCGCCGCCCCGCTTCTTACCACTAATTTGACCGATAAATCGCTTCTGCGCAGCTTGACAGCCAGCGTTCTTTTTAGATGACGCGAGTTATATGATTTTCTAATTTTAATAATATTTATATGTAGATAGCAGCAGACGTGCGGTGGGTGGGCGAGCTGGTGGTGGCGGCGGAGGAGGCGGGCCGCCTGCAGTGCTTCGACCGCGCTCTGTCACTACTACATCATCATACCAAGTGTCTCGACCTGACGTCCTATATGAGGTTAATAAACGCTTTTATTGTGAAGTTAATATGACAGCTTGTACGCGCAGGTGGGCATGTGTGTATATGTGTGTGGGTGTGTTTGTATGTGTGTGGATGTTTGACGTTCATGCAAAAATACTAAAATTTTCACTATCCACCTTCTGGCCCCATCATCAGATCAGCTTGATTATATTCCATTATAGAACAGTCATAGTTGAAGTAGATAAATAAATAATAAATAAATATGCTGGTACATTAACACACAGCATCATCTAGTTCCATTGTAAGCTACAAGGCTTGTGTGTTATGGAAACCAGATATTAGATACACTGCATATACATATATAACTTTAAATACATATATATTATAAATATAAACACCCATGACTGGAGTACAAACATTCGTGCTCCTCACACAAACGAATGCCTCCAGCGGGGCTTAAACCCGCGACCACTGCCACATTTTCAAAATTCAAATGTGTCGTCACAATCAAAATCAACTTGTATATATTATACATGTTTAATGTGATAACTTGTTGAAAATGTGTTTCAGGGAAGCAAAACGCATGCAAATCCTGGCGACTCGCAGCGTGCCCGGCGCCCCGCTCATACTGGCGACGTTCGCGGGCGGACCCCTCGCCTTACTGAAGATAACACACGCGCGACTGCTATCTGTAAACCTATGATATTTTAACATTTAGCGAGAAATCCTATTTTAAGTATTTACAGTACACACAAAATGAACTAGATGTTAAATATTTTATGCTATATATACTAAATGAATCACTGAGACTTGAGAGTATTGATTAAAAAACATACTAGTGCTAACTAAGAGTTACGTCATGGAATTGTATTATAACGTATTTTCCCGTGGAAATGGGATAATCTACAGCGGTAAAAAGTAGTCTATGTCAATCTAGTCTTCCAATTATATCGACAAAAAATCATGCCAATCCAACACTCTGTTTTGACCTGAAAGAAGGACAAACACACTTTCACATTTATAATGTTTAGTATGGATTTCTTCCCTATAAATGTTTGAGGTGTTTCTTTAAATTGACATAAATTTTTTTTATGAACCAATTGAAATAAAACAAAAACTGAATGTTAAGTGAAGTTCATCACAATACATTAGTGAAACTGCACCCAAATTAGTTAAGCCGTTTCTGAGATTAGCGTGCACAAACGCACAGACATACAGATAAAAATTTAAAGACTCATTGTTTTGTGTTCTATTGCATTAATAAAGACTAGACTACTTTTTCTCAAATATCTTCCATGTTCAAACAGCGATTAGTTACACTTTTATTATATGCATAGACTAGCGACTCGCCCTCGCTTCGTTCGGGTTCCTCCCTAGCTTGCTTCCAAAAACAAACTTTCATACCCATTTTCCACCCTTAAGGCATGATTTCCGGAATAAAAAAGTATCCTATGTCCTTCCCAGGGTCTCAAACTATCTTCTTACCAAATTTCATATAAATCGGTTCAGTAGATCCAGAGATTACCTCCTACAACGTCACAAACTTACAGAATCACAACTTTACCTCTTTATAATATTAGTATAGATAAAGCTATAGTAATAGCCCATAATGTCAAATTAATAGTATATTATTTCCGAAATCAGCTATCGAAGTGTCAGTATTAAAGTAATTAAATTAAAAATTCTTTTAACAAATGTATTGCTTATTTATCATAATTTAAGATTAGAAATAAAATTGTATATTATATCTTATTATTCTAATTTATGTAAGTGTATTTCCAGGCATGGATACGTTCAGGACGCACAGCCAACGCAGTGGCACTCCTACGAGCACTGGACTGGGGGGAGGAGGGTGCGGAGTGCCTGCGCGCGGTGGGCGACGTGGTGCGGCACGCGCTGCGACGTGCGCACGACGCCGAGGCCGGCGTGCAACTGGCGCTGGGCGCGTACCTGGCGCCGGCCGCGCCACTCCCCCCCGCCGCGGACAAGTACGCCCCCGCGGTGCACGATCTTGCTAGAAAGTTCTTTCATCATTTGCTTAGGTGAGATGTCTTACGCTTAGTTTCGACAAGCGTCCACAAACACAAGCGTGTGAACGGGGTGTTTGGCTTGGCTTGCGTGAGCTTGTCACCATCCGGGCTAGTGTCGGTCTTTGAACACAGATCCAAAAAAGTTTGCGGCAAGCGCTTGTGGCGTATTCACACGGTTTAGTGTCGCTCTCGCTCACAATGTCTATTTCAATAAGATTTTTCAAAAAATATTTAATGTACAGAATCAGCTTAGTTACATTTTACTATTTGTCTAGTTAAAAATATGTCAAGCCAAACGAAATAATCGACACAACTTCAACGTCCACGTCTGGTACACTCTAATGCACTCGCAAGCGTGTAAACGGCATCCAAGCGTTTGTAAAGGCTTGGAGCTTATAGGCGTTTGCCAAGCCTCGGTAAGTGTGCAAATTTAGCATTACTTAGCCTCACTTCACTTCTTCACTTCTAGGGGACCCTCTTCGGTGGGCGGTGTACCATGCGGGTTGCTCCTGGTACTTCTCTGATAGCAGAGTGGATCTTGGAGCAACCCCATGGTTGTTGTGGTCTGCTTCAGCAGACCTGCCGTCGGTGCGTCGTACTTGAATGCGTAAGCGATCCTGAGACGCCCCATTAAGACGGGGGAAGGTTTTTTAGGTTTTAGTGGGTAGTACTGGCTTTGCCGGTGAGTCCCACACCTCGTTCGTAAATGCATTTCCCAACGTTAAAAAAAAGGCTCCGTCATGGGACAGGTATGAAAATTAGGTGATTTTTTAAAGTATTTTACGACTTCTTATCTATTGGTATATGTTATTTATCAAACTATTTTGAGCTTATTTTAAACATGGCTGCTATTTTGTCCGGATGTAAATATACGGCTGACAACACGGCTGACGCCTTCTGATTTTTTGAAGCAAGGGCAACAAAAAAAAAAGTATAAGTATGTTTAACTTTTCTCATCAAGTTTCTAAAGCCAGTATTTTCAACAATTGACAAACGGCTGGTTGTCAAGTGCAATCATCTCATCTATTGCAATATTGATATCTCTTGATCTTGAGTTTTCACGTGACCATTGTACAGCAAAACTATCTTCAATATTTTGTTGGTTTTTCTGACTCATATACTGACCGCTAATGACATTGAAGTTGACGGAGTAGATACAGTTGAAGGTAGTTCTGCTTGGATTTGCGACTGCAAGAAATCGTCTGTGGTCGAACATTTTATCGAAGAACTTAACTGAGGTATCAGGCTTGGATGTCGGTATTTAATATGGTTCTTCATACTTGTAGTATGAGCTGTTTTCCCATGCCCGCCACGAGACATTATCATTTGGCATTGGTTACACACACTTGACTTTGCGGGAATCATTGTCCAATTGTTCAAAAAAAAACCATATATGAGACTTTCTTTTTTACATTATTAAATTTGAATTAAACTTTTACACTTTAATTAACAATAACACTATTAGCTTTACAAAAAAGTATTTTTTACTCAAAAACACCGCTCTGACCCGCACAACAGCAAAGTTCAAGAAACAATGCGAAGTAAACAAAACAGGTTCTCACACGTTCGTGGGCGGCGGCTGCGACTTGAGCGCGAATGAGTGGTAAACGAAGCATCAGGGAAATCCCCCGAAACAGTGATCGGCATGGCCGAGTAGTCGGCCTCTTTACAACCGACTAGTCGGCTAGTCGGCCTAAGTCGAAGTCGGCACATCTCTAATGATTACCACTTGCTTTACGGTGAAGGAAAACATCGTGAGGAAACCTGCATGTCTGAGAGAACCTAGCAACTTTTCGAAAGACATGTGAAGTCCGCCAACACGTTCAAAAGGGCTGAATACAATAATTAAAATATGTATATTAATTACTAATTTATGACGACACGTTTGGCTCAGTTTGTAGTGACCCTACTTGCTGTGCCAGCGGTCGCGGGTTTGAGTCCCGCTGGGGGCATGTATTTGTGTGATGAGCATGAATGTTTGTACTCCAGGCATGGGTGTTTATATTTATAATATATATGTATTTAAAGTTATATATGTGTAGTGTATCAACTATCTGGTTTCCATAACACTCGTAGCTTACCATGAAACTAGATGGTTCTGTGTGTTAATGTCCCAACATATTTATTTAATGTAACATAGGCGCGGTCGCATAGAGAAGGCGCTGTCGCTGGCGGTGGACCTGGGCGCGTGGGACCTATTCGCGGACGCGCGCTGGGCGGCGCGCCGGCGCGGCGCCGCGCGGCTTGCCGGCGAGGCCGCGCGCGCCGCCGCCTACTACGCCAGCCAGGGCGACCACAGTTAGTTGTTTGTTTGGTTTTTTTTTTAATTTTGTACTAGTGTTTTTTTTAATGTTGGAAAATACATTTAGGCTACGTCCGCACAGGTAGCCGGTTTGCTTAGCGCCTAGAGCCTAGTGGTTTGCGCTCTAGCTACTTGCTAGGATACACGGTGGCCGCACTGCAGGTGGTTTGCGTGGTAGGTCGCTAAGTGCCTTGGTCATTTGCTTGTCGGCACGTTGACGAGATGTCACTTTCAAAAATAGCTCTAAATCTGCTATTTACAGAAAATTCACATTTAAAATATACCAATTCACGGCATTATCTATCATATTGGGTTCATGACTTAAACATGTCACGGTCATATTATGGGAGTTTAATGTTCTGTATAAGCAATGCGTAATTTTGACGACAAATTTTACGAATATTTGCATATGTCAAGAGAAACATGTGATCTACTTCTCAGTAAAGTTAAAGAAAAATTAACATAATCTTTTTAAGATTATTGCAATTTTATGAAGTTCACTAGCCGAATTCCACAGAGGTTCTCTTTTAAAAACTGATGCAATTAATATTTCATCTATTTTTTCTTTTAAAATGCCTTGCGCCCCGTGACAAACAACCAACACGTTTGTTTACTTAGATACACGCTAAGCGACTAGCTAGGAGCCAAGCGCACAGTGCGGCCGGTCGCGAACATTCTAGAACATTCGATTTACTAAGCTAACTCGCTAGGTGACACTAGGCTCTAGACGCTAAGCAAGCCGCTTGCCTGTGCGGGCGTAGCCTTATGCATACCACATGTATATATGCAAGTGGTTCTGGGGGACACACCAGCTTAAGAGAACTACCCATATTAATGCCGCGTCGCAGAACCAAGCGTACTCAACCACGATGCCCCAAAGCAGACCATAAACCAAGGGTTCGATCCCACGGTCCACTCTGCTGCCAGAAAAGTAGTAAAGTAATAGTAAAGTAGTAGTAAAGTATCAGGAACAATCCGCATGACACACCAGCCACGGAAGTGGGCCACCTCCCAATGTGCCTCTTGGCTTCACGCACAGCTAGATAGCTAGATGTTAAAAACGCCCCCAAAACCAAAAGTTGTACAAGCGACTTATCCTTGCTTCACTTGAGTGCATTAATTACTTGTTTTATTTCTTTCATTTATTGATTTACTTTGCTATTAAGCAGTTACCCGCGCTTCGAAAGTGCATCCACAAGTGTCTAATAATAGCTGATAAAGTAACTCAACAAGCATTATTTCCCCAACTTCAATTAATTTTTATTTAATATTTTCTTCTCATAATCGTGTAATATATCGTTACTGAGCTACATAACTCGACCTTTCCAGATTCAGAGTGTTCAGATTCCTGCTCTCAATGCAGTTCAAATTCGTACACTGACTCTGAAGATTCAAGTTCACCTAAAGTCAAAACTAACCCACCGCCCCTGCCAAGGGTGCCGTTACCACCATCTATCCTCACAGTACCCATAAATCAAATGGACACATACACCACAACCAGCATCCGACCAAACCTACACCAGTACTTGGACCGAGACAACAGTATTTGGTCCAAAAATGTCAAAGATGACACCTATCTCACAGTACATAAACGAGAACATTTAAAACCAATCAATGGGCAAAGTATGAGATGGAATAGTATGGATAATGTACTGAACATTCAAAGACCTAAAACTTTAATGTTGCAAACGAAACCAGTGAACAGTGTGTTGGATGTCGTCACTCGAAACGATCAAGAGAGGATCGCGTCGCATTTTAAAATGTTGTACCAAAATGAAGAGAAGGATGAAGCAAGTGAACGCTTTATACCGAATGTGCCATCTACCAACAACCTTAATGGAAGATATCGACAAGATAACTTTTGGTCTGGAGTGAAACCAGAGAAGAACAAAGTGAAGTTTTCAGACACGGTGACTATTGCTGTTGTTCCCGTGAGTCACAATTATATTTTATTATATATATTTTTTCTTTTCAAAAATTATACTATAAAAAAATTATACATTTTATCCATTCTTATACTTATTAATATTATAAATGTGAAAGTGTGTTTGTTTGTCCTTCTTTTACGTGGGATCCATGACGGGATGGCGTGATTTTCGTGATTGTGTGTGGAGGTAGTTGGAGGACTGGAAAGTGACATAGGCTACTTTTTCCCGCTTGAGATTATCTCATTCCCATGGGAAAACACGTTATAATATAACCCACAACAACTCTTTGTACTTATGTATATATATATATATATATATATATATATATATATATATAATTATATATATATATTCCCGTTAGAAGATGATAGGGGTGACTATTTGCGATATGATAGAGCAAGATCCCATGGTCACCAGAGTCACATATTTTCTGATGAACAAAATCTGGGCGATTAAGTAGTGTTAGTATGTACTACGATCGCATGCCTACCTGCTAGCTTGGTTAGACGGCCAATTTCCAGGTATCAGGTAATCAAGGCACATAAAATCTCCAAGCTAATTTTCACATATGTTGTATTGTTAAGAGGCTTAACTACCTTCTCAAGAATGGTATCACTAAATGGTACATATAATGATAAATGGTACACTATTTCATAGCTAACACCCCACCAAATCATCACTGAAGTCGGATATTGCCCACGTTGTACTCTGTTGACTAATTGGGAAGCTTCCTTAGAGCTTGGAGCATAAATATGGTCATTTTGTTTGTTAAAATATTGCTCAATTGTAAAAAAAATCTCATCCGTAATCAAAAATTTTCTCTGACCTCCCCTTGCGTACCGCCTAAGTAGTTGTTTTGATTTTACCACCCTATTCTTTTTTAAATTATCAGTTGAGAAATGACTAGTGCGTCTCTTATAGGCTGCAAGTCCTAAGTCATCTTTTAAAATACGCAACATGGTTCTAGGTGCTACCTTCATCTCCCGAGATAAAATCTTTTGCTTTCGGACAGGATTCCTTCGAGTTCTTTCCCTTTTTTGTTCTTTACTTGGAAGGCCAGATTTTTTTCTATCACAAGCAGAAGAGGTTTCATTGTACCTATCAATAGCCCGGTACACAAATGTTTCGGACGACCAGAACCAGGGTATGTCTAGTACCCGGAGGTCGACCTGGGACAATCTCCCAGACGTTCTTGGCGTACACGGCAGTATGTCCGTTCGCTGGTAATGTACGCCACCACGCACCCCTGAATGCGTAGCTTGGGTCCCGATCCACTAGGGTTTCTTCGTTGACAGGAGACTATACTTAGAGGCGATGAAATAAAAACACAATTTTTTCCTTTTTTCTCTCTTGGTTTCGGTTCTTCCTTTTCCTTTTAGTTGTTGCCTCTTCGGTGGCTGTCTTGCGACTGACTCGAATCGAGAAATGGCTCGCCTTTTATTTGGCCCGTTAATACCTTACAGAGAGCCGCGTACTTTGAGCTCATTTTTCGAATAAAATTTCCCTAAACCGAAACCTTGAGAGTCCTTTTATTTTATGTTTTCAGTAAAACACCTTACACATATTTATTTATTTACATGCCTTACATACTATTATACAATATTAAAACATAATATTCAATATATAATAATTAAAAAAGTCTTAAAACAAAAATATCTAAATTTCTAGGTTGCTACATTTTTACTATACATTTTCCCTTATAACTTTTGAACGGATAGTCCTATCGACCTAATTCTTGTTTTATTATAAGTTTTATAATAAAATCTATTATTTAAAACATAAACTATTATGCTATTGCAAGAAACAAAAAATCTCATTTTCAAGTTACGTAATTATATGCTAACATTTTACTTACGTACCTATTCCTTTCAAATTAATGTTAAATAGTCTTATATGATTCAAATAAGCAAAAAATACTCTAAACTAACCTTATTACACTAATTAGAACTTATTTTAACATAATAAATCTAATAAGAATGAGATTTCATATTTACAACAATTATTCATAATACGCTAAAATGACATTGTCCCTATATTAATACACACGTTACTCGAAGATAGGTTTTCCGTCGCCGACATTCTCCCCCTCGTGCTTTGCACCAACTCCTGGACTCGGCGACGCTCCCGGCACCAACAGCACCACTCTCGAACTGGGCCTCCGTAGAACACCTCCTCTGGTCTCGACGTCGACGACTCTGGTCCGCCCGTCTGGTCCAGGATACACATGCAGGATTCTTCCGCGTGGCCAGATGCATCTTGGTAGGCTGTGATCGACGATCAGTACGATGTCTCCGACTTGCAAATCTGTGGCGCTGACTCTTCCTTTGGTCTTCCTTGGTAGTAGAGTGGGCAAATACTCTCTCAGCCAACGTTGCCAGAAGTGATCGGCAAGTCGCTGCGTAGCCTTCCAGGTGTGTCTGCCCACAAGCTCGTTGTCCTCGAAGCTGCCGATTCTTGCTGCGCCACATGATCGCCCGATGAGAAAGTGGTTCGGTGTAAGTGCTTCTTCTTCAGGGTTCTCGGAGAGGTGGGTGAGGGGCCGAGAGTTGACTATGTGCTCGGCCTCTAACAGGAGGGTATGAAGTACCTCCTCTCGTGGTTGCCTTTCGTTGAGCGTGGCGTCCAGTGCGGTTTTAATGGATCGCACCAGACGCTCCCATGCACCTCCCATGTTTGGTGCACCAGGAGGTATGAACTTCCACTGCACACCGATCTTCTCCGCTTCCGAGATAAGGTCTTCTTGCTTCATGGTGTCTAGTGCTTCTTTGAGTTCTTTGTTGGCGCCAACGAAGTTAGTGCCATTGTCGGTGTAGATTATCTTTGGCATTCCCCTTCTCGCGGCGAATCGTCGTAGTGCCATGATCATGCTGTCAGTGGAGAGTGAAGGAGTGAGCTCAATGTGTACAGCTCGTGTTGTTAAGCATGTGAATAGAGCACCCCATCTCTTCTCATGGCGTCTTGCTACGGTGATCGTCATAGGGCCGAAGTAATCTATTCCCGTGCACGTAAATGGAGGGTTTCCGTGCATCAGCCTCTCAGCAGATAAGTTGCCCACTGGTAGTTCTTGAGGTCTTGCCTTTCTTGTTTTGCACCACTGGCATTGATGTTGAATGGTCTTGATCGCTGACCTCAGTCCTAGCACCCAGAAGCGTTGTCTTACTTCGTTCATTACGGTCGCGTGATTCCCGTGATTGAAGCGGCAGTGAAATTCTTCTATGATGAGAAGTGTTGTCTTGTCCTTGCTGTCGAGTACGATGGGTCGTTTGTAGTCTCTGGTAACCCCTCGTATCGCGTCGATTCTTCCTTTCAGTCGCAGGAGACCTTCTTCTAGCACTACGTCGAGCCTTTTCAACTTGCTGCTGCCCTCTAATTGTTTTCCTTGCTGTAGGCACCTGATGTCCTCTTTGAAGCATTTCTCTTGACTTCTTCTTAACAACAGCGTTTCAGCTTGCTCTAGTAGACTTGTTTCCAATGGTATGTATTTCCTTTCTGACGTTTTTGAAGACAGATGTCGCTTCTCAACAATTTTCTTATTCCTTTTTGTAGTTTTCCAGGTAGGATCTTCTTTGCTGGCGTGGACCTTTTCCTTTCTTCTGCAGAGTTGTATGAACTGCAGTACTCTTGCTGTAGCTCGCCAAAGTCTTTTCCACGACGAGAACTTTTCGGGATCTGGTGATGGATAGGAGCTGCCTGCAGTCGCTACGATGTCCGCTGCCTTTTCTTCGCCAGTGGTTTCTTTCTTGAATGTTCTTGCCGCAGGCCAGTGAACTTCATCTCTTCTTAGAAACCCTGGTCCGGTGTACCATCGGTGTTGGCAGTCGAAGTGTTCTGGTACGTCACGTGTTGCATCATCTGCAGGGTTCTGCGCCGTCGGTACCCATCTCCAGTCCTGTGGTTTTGTGAGATCTTCTATCTCCGCCAAGCGATGAGCCACGAATGTCTTGAAGGTTCTCGGGTCCGTCTTGATCCATGATAGCACGATACTGGAGTCCTGTCCAAAACGTCTTCTTTTCTATTTTCAGATCCATTTCTTCCTCGACCGAGTGTGCCAATCTGCTTCCTAGGAGGGCCGCTTGCAGCTCGAGTCTCGGGATTGACACCGGCTTCAACGGAGCGACTCTTACTTTTGCTGCTACTAAGCTGACGTCATAAGTCCCATTTTGATTTTCAGTTCTCCAATATACCGTAGCTGCATACGCCATTTCGCTTGCATCCGTGAACGTGTGCAGCTCCCCCTCGGTGCGACGTGGTGCCAGACATCTCGGGATCTGAAGGTCTTGGAGCAGCTTCATCTTCTCCAGGTAAGTCTTCCATGACTCGTACTCCTTTTCTTCTATCTCTTCATCCCAACCGACGCCACTTCGCCATATGTTCTGGAGCAGCCTTTTGCCTTGGATGAGAATTGGTGATGCTAGCCCTAGTGAATCGAAGGTCGACATCACGGCGCTGGTGACTTCTCTCTTCGTAGGTACCTTGAGTCCTTGTGCCACTTCATCTGGCGTGTTCCGAAGGTTCGCCCTAAAGCCTATGGAGTCCCTTTCTGTAAACCAGCGTAGTCCCAGTGTCTTCTCTTCCTTCTCACCAAGGTCCACCTCTGTCTTCTCAACTGACTCAGTCTTCACGTCTTGCAGCAGGTCGGAGTGGTTTGACGCCCATCCTTGGAGTTCCAAGCCCGCCTTTTTGTGAATGAAGTCCACCTGCGCTGTAATTCTCTTGAAGTCCTCTTCTGAATGGAAGCTGTGCAGGTAGTCATCCATGTAATGGTTCAGCTCGATTGCCTTTGCTGCCTCTGGGTACTGCTTCTTGTAGTCCGCCGCGTTCCGGTTCTTCACGTAGATCGCTGTGCTAGGAGATGATGTCGCGCCGAAGATGACTGATGTCATTCTGTACTCCTTCGGTGCTACGTCACGACGATCCCCTCGCCACAGGAACTTCAAGCTGTTTCTATCTTCTGGCCGGATGCGAACTTGCAGGAACATTTCCTTTATGTCGGTTGCCACTGCAAACGGGCCTTGCCGGAACCTCAGTAATACCCCGAAGAGCGATTGCAGTAGGTCTGGTCCCGGTAGTAAAGCGTCGTTGAGGCTTCTCCCTTTAGACTTGGCTGCAGCGTCGAAGACGATCCTTATTTTCTTCTTCAATGGATGTACCACGGAGAAATGAGGGAGGTACCATGTCTTCTTTGAATCTTCTTGTCCACCAGGTGCTTCTTCTGCATACTTGCTGTCGATTAGATGCTGGATCTGCTTATTGTATTCTGCCTTCAGCTGAGGGTCTTTGTCTATCTTCTTTTCAATGTTGAACAATCGGTTCTTGGCAGACGTGTAGCTTTCAGGCATCTGTTCATCTTCATTTTTCCATAGAAGTCCAGCTTCAAATCGACCATCTTCTAGTCTTCTGCAGGTCTTCTCTAGGATGGTGAGTGCTCTTTCTTCTGAATCCGTAGTGGGTCTTCTTGGTAGTACTCCAAGTGCTTCGATTGCGAAGTGATCCTTGAGGGCTTGATGCATCTCTTCTTCTGGCGTGCTGACATGTAGACACGTGTTTTAAGAAGTGCACCACTTTCGCGCCTCCAGTGTCTGACCCGTGGAGCACCCATCCAAGTCCTGTTCTTGAAGCGACTGGTTGTCCTGGTTTCCCTCTTCTTACTTCTTGAGTCACGATTAGCTCCCAGTTGTCTTGACCGATGAGCAGCTGTGGTGACTCCCCCTTATAATATAGAGAGTCAGCAATCTTCTTCAAGTGTTGACACTCTTCTATCCTTTTCTTTTCTAGGAACTGCGGTGCAAGCTTCAACTCTTCGATGGTCCGGACTCTTCTCAAGGTCTTCTTGGTCTTCTGATGAATCCCCTTCACCGTAAGGTCAAGCATCTGAGAGTCTTCCTTCCTTATCAGCCTGCCTCCAACAGTCTCGATGACCAGTTCCTCCTTTCTTCCTTGAGCGCCGATTTCTTCTGCTACCTTCTGGTCTAGCAGCGACACTGTTGACCCTTCATCCATGAGGGCCAATATCTTCTTTGATCCTTTTGACCCGAAGATTTCTATCGGAATTATCTTCAGGTATGCCCTTGCGTTGTTGACCGCATTCACCGATGCCATGATGCTCGCCACTTCTTGTGGTTTGTTCTTCTGTTCTTCCGAGGAACTTTTCTCTGTCTCGACGTGCAGCAGATGATGATGCCACCTCTTGCATTCCTTGCACGACGGCTTCTTGCAGCTCTCCTTCCGATGTGTCCCTTGTAAACACTTGAAGCAAACGCGGCTTTTCTTCACTATTGCCCATCGATCTTGCATAGACGCCTTCAGGAACTTCTGACACCCGACGAGGAAGTGTTCACCCTCACACATGGGGCAAGTCTTCTCTGATCTTGAAACCTTTTTCTTTGAAGTCCTTTTCCTTAGTTGAATGCGTTGCTTGTCGATGAGTCCGTCTGAACCCGCTCTTCTCTTCTGTTGATGCATAGGCTCCACACTTGTCTGCTTCTCTGTTCAGGAACTTGGACACCAGTGTTAGGTCGGAGAACTCGCCTTCTTCTGTTGTTTCAATGAAGTCGTACCATCGGAACTTGAGGATCGTAGGCATCTTCTCAATAATTTTGTTTCATCATCTCAGGTGAATGCAGGTACTGTGGTTTCTTCAATCCTTTTATTGCCGCTACGCTGTTGCTGATCTGGCTCGCGAAGAGGCATATGTCCCTTGGGTTTTCAGAAATCTTCGGCAACGTTTTGACCTTGTCCAACTCTGCCAGCACCAGTGCATCTGGTCTTCCATATCTTCTTCTGAGGGCTTGAATCACTTCCATCGGAGAGGCTTCGGAGTACAGCAGACTCTTGATAGCTTCTCTTGCGTTGCCCTTCAGTGCTCTTCTTAGCCGAGCCATATTCTGGACGTTGTTGAACATCGGTGCTGTATCTTCATAGACAACCTTGAAGGCCATCCACTCGCTGCTGTTGCCGTCGAAGTAGGGTAACTCGTGAATGTAGGTTGGCTGTCCTGCTGGTCCTCGCGTGGTAAGAGCTTCCTTCAATGCTGCCGTCAGTGCTTGAATTTCAATCGTAGCTCCTCTCGTTGAGGAGTTCTCTTCAGGCTTCATCTTCTGTGGCTCTTCCAAGGGGTGTGGACCTCGCATCTCTGGTTGAACTTTGTTGCCATCCTCCAGCACAGACGTCTCGATCCAGTTCTGCACCTGTGCTGTTCTGTCTTCCAGGTCTTCATCCACGGAGTCCTCTTCTTCACACTGTGCCATCTCCAATCTGACACGGGCTAGCTTAGTTTCAGCCTGTGCTTGCTTCAACTCCAGGCGTGCCAACTCTTCCTTTGCTTCTAGCTCGCGTCTTCTGGCCGAGGAACTCGTGGTCTTCGTGGACCTGGCGCGACGACTGACCCCCATCGGTTTTCAGGGTCTTGGAGGAGCCTTGAACATCCTTTCCAGGTACATCTTCTTGGCTCTTCCTGGTCATCCTCTGTGCAGCATCTTCTTTGTTGCCTTCCATAGACGCCGCCGTAGTTGCAGTCGTAACCGTAGTCTCCGTCACTGTGGTGCCCTCCGTGGTCGTGGTACCCGAAGAAGTGTTCGATGTAGTTGCAGTTCCCGATGACGCCGACGCTGACGTGACCCCTTCTGATCCCGACGTTCCATCTGTCGCGTCCCTATCTGAAGGACGGGACCCGGGACGTGAGGGGGCATCCTTCTGCGACCTGGTTACCGGCATCTTGAACGCAATCTTCTGTTTCTTCTGAACTTCTTCTAGCAGGGATCCGGCTCGAAGGACCAACTGTTTCGGACGACCAGAACCAGGGTATGTCTAGTACCCGGAGGTCGACCTGGGACAATCTCCCAGACGTTCTTGGCGTACACGGCAGTATGTCCGTTCGCTGGTAATGTACGCCACCACGCACCCCTGAATGCGTAGCTTGGGTCCCGATCCACTAGGGTTTCTTCGTTGACAGGAGACTATACTTAGAGGCGATGAAATAAAACACAATTTTTTTCCTTTTTTCTCTCTTGGTTTCGGTTCTTCCTTTTCCTTTTAGTTGTTGCCTCTTCGGTGGCTGTCTTGCGACTGACTCGAATCGAGAAATGGCTCGCCTTTTATTTGGCCCGTTAATACCTTACAGAGAGCCGCGTACTTTGAGCTCATTTTTCGAATAAAATTTCCCTAAACCGAAACCTTGAGAGTCCTTTTATTTTATGTTTTCAGTAAAACACCTTACACATATTTATTTATTTACATGCCTTACATACTATTATACAATATTAAAACATAATATTCAATATATAATAATTAATTAAAAAAGTCTTAAAACAAAAATATCTAAATTTCTAGGTTGCTACATTTTTACTATACATTTTCCCTTATAACTTTTGAACGGATAGTCCTATCGACCTAATTCTTGTTTTATATAATAAAATCTATTATTTAAAACATAAACTATTATGCTATTGCAAGAAACAAAAAATCTCATTTTCAAGTTACGTAATTATATGCTAACATTTTACTTACGTACCTATTCCTTTCAAATTAATGTTAAATAGTCTTATATGATTCAAATAAGCAAAAAATACTCTAAACTAACCTTATTACACTAATTAGAACTTATTTTAACATAATAAATCTAATAAGAATGAGATTTCATATTTACAACAATTATTCATAATACGCTAAAATGACATTGTCCCTATATTAATACACACGTTACTCGAAGATAGGTTTTCCGTCGCCGACAACAAACATTTGACTAATACCAGCGTATGGAGTTTTAAAAATTGTATTTTGCTCCATACCTACTTTGTGTAATGCAATCACAGCGATTCGGTTCTCTTTATCACCCCACTCCATTTTAATATCACAAAATATTTTAGAATGTATTGGCGCGAAAATGAGAAAACACAATGAAAAATCATATAAAAATGACAGATTCCAAATTCAAATGTAATATTTTGTTTATTTTTAATTATAACAGTATTTATATATATGACATGCGTATCTATGAAAATGTATATGCCACAGGAGTCTCCGGCACCGGACCCGGCGCACGAGCTGGCGGAGAGCCTGCCGCTGTGCGCGCCGCACAAGTACCTGGCCGCGTTCGCGCAGGCGCCGCCCGCCGCGCCCGCGCCCGCGCCCGCCGGTACCACGCTAGACTACGTCGAAGTGTGACTGCATGTTTGTGTTAACCATTGCACTTTGCACTTACTATGTAGCTTACTTTTGTAATTGACTAGCATTTTCCTCAGACTCCGCCCGCGCACTACTTTTATGTGTTTATATCTTTGTTTTTAAAGCTAAATTATAGCCTAAGTATTACTATGTATGAACTATATAACTAATGTTTCATCGAAATCCATTTAGTAGTTTTTGCATTTAGTAACAAACATACATCCCTACATTCTCACAAGCTAATACATATTAGAAACCTCAAACATGCTATGTACTATAGTTACACTTTATTTTTAATTTAATTTTCATTATCCTACTCATATATTTTATATATGAATTTCTTCTTTCGGTTCTACTTTTTTTTCACTTTAGTATAAAATTTTATTTGTATTACCGTGCCATAATATGAGCAGTTTATGTTTGCATCTTGACTCTAAGGCTGTAAAATAAAAAACAAAACATTGACAAATTGATACTAGCACAATTTCATATTTAATTCTAATTGAATTACCTATAATATAAAAATATTCTAAAAAAATAGAAGGAACCAGTATAATCTACATATTACTTACAACCTGATCATCATCATCACATATTTCATGTTATTTCAACGAAAATGTGATCTTCTTTCGCACTGCAAAATGTGACCTAAATTACACTATATTTAATTTGTATAGTTATCTAAACTAAATTCACTAGATTGTATACTGGAAGAATTTAAGCATGGAGTCCAATCTCTATAAGGCTTCATATGACCAATCCATCCACAAATTTTTTTAGAGCTGTAGTTCCAAAAACGCAGTACCGGATTCAACCTCAACGCCGCCCCTGGGCATAGTAAAAAATGCCGCTCCATTATCGAAATTTTGCATAAAATGAATAAAGTTTCGATAAATTTCGATATATTTTTTTTAATTTTTGATAAATGCAAAAAATAGTTCTTTTTTTAATTATTCATTTTTTGAAAAATAAAAAAAAGAACATTTTTGATAACGCGAAGATTTTTTTGTTTATCCTTCCAATTTTGCCGTCCTGGGCACTTATTGCCACTGGGACTGCGTCGTTTTTGATTATGTATCTTTCTTAAATACTTAGTTATTTTGAACAGCTTTCTTACATAAAATAAGTAAATAGGATTTTTTTTACATTCCTTATTATACATTTGAATATACTGGGAATTTCCACCTCCCTATTTTTGCCATAACGACCGCAGCTCTATTATTTTTTCAAGTTTTTGGGACAACTTTTACATACAGAGATTGGACTCCTTGTCTATATTCTTCATGGTTGTATACATAAATTATATTAATATTTTGTACTCGGTGATGTCTTCTTAATTGTTGCATGTTTGTCTTATATAAAATGTTTCTGATATTCTACTCATAAAACATGTGATTAAAAAATAATACTTTCTTAGATTTACGCGAATATTTCATATTTTAAATAAAAACTATCTTTTCGGATTATTTCACGGATTTATTTTGATTTCTAATTCCCGACGTTTCGAATGTTTTACAGCAATAATGAATCATGATCACGGGCTATACTAAGGTTTTTGACGTCTCAAAGGCGTTATACACTTGTTACAGACAGTGCCTCCCCACAATTTTCCAAAATGATTTAAAAAATGCAAAAATAGCACGAAAGATCCTTACAGTATTTGTTGATTTTAATTCTTAACATTTTAAAACTCTCAATAAGTATTATAATTAAATATAGCAATATTATTTATTTAATTTTAGCTATTATTATTATAAATATTTAAAAAAAAAACGTTCTTAATTAATAATATTATTTAGTGTTGCTATTATTATAAAAATATTAATTATTTATTTAAGCAGTGTTATTGTTTTGTATGTAATTTAAAAAGTTAAAATAATCCGAAAAGATAGTTTTATTTAAAATGATTAAAAAATGTTTAACGCATGAATGTTACTTATGTGTACACTTTCTGTTCTAACAATTGTCTATGCACAAAATAGCAATTTGCATGAGATACTGACACTGCACAGGTTCAGACTAAAAGAATATATTTTACACTTTATATATTTTACATCTTTTCTTACACCTTTAGGTAGGTATTGCCATAGAATTGATTTTTTATTATAATTTATATAGGCCAGAATTTTCAATTCGAAATTTAATAAACTAAAAAAAGTTCAATCTACCTTTCGGTATAGTGACCGGGCAAAACGCTAATTTATAAAAACACTAGCGGCTCACCCTCGCTTCGCTCGGATTGGCCTCTAGGAAAACAAAAACAAACCTATCCCACAGGAACCGTACATTTTCCGGGATAAAAAAGAAGTCTGTGTTATTCCAGACTATAATCTATCTCTGTGCCAAATTTCATCCAGAGCCGTTCAGCCGTTCTAGCGTGAAGGAGTAACAAACATCCATACTCACAAACTTTTACATTAATAATATTAAAATACGGATATTCTATCCGCACAAAAAAAATCAGTTAAAGACCTAAACTTTACATCTATAATAGGGAATATGCGTGTGATTTAAATAAAGGTGATTTTTTTAAATCTTTATTGCTTCTGAACTAATCCTATATTAATATTTTTAATGTTACTAGCGGCTCACCCTCGCTTCACTCGGGTTCGTCGCTAGGTACGTTTTAAATAGATATAAATAGTTATTAGCCAGTGTTATTAGCCATATAAATATTTTTATTTCGTTAATTTTTCTGACGTTTTAATACTTAGGTATTAACCTATTCCGGAATGAGAGAAATCCAAAAATTCAAATATCATAAAAATTGGTCCAGCCGTTCTTGAGTCTTGTATACGGGAACGCAGTCGAACGGGCTAAAAAGTATCCTATGTCCGTCTCCTGGTTCTAAGCTACCTCCCCACCAAGTTTCAGCCAAATCGGTTCAGCCGTTCTTGAATTATAAATAGTGTAACTAACACGACTTTCTTTTATATATATAGATTTCTTTTTGATTGAAACGCAACGCTATTGGTCACACCGAATATGACGTCAGAGTCTATCATAACAGAGCGATTAGCGATTTTGTTCGCTACAAATTGAGTCGTCATTTTGACATGTGACATTGATGTGGTGTTTAAAGTATCCGTATGAGTATGATATTTTAAATTATTTTTTTATACTAAAACTAGCAAGTCACCCTCGCTTCGCTCGGGTTCGTCCCTAGCTTGATTAGCCATAATAAATTTCATCCCCAATTTCACCCCCTTAAGATGATTTCCGGGATAAAAAGAATCCCATGTCCTTCCCAGGGTTTCACACTATCTTCTTACCAAATTTCGTCTAAATCTGTTCAGTAGATCCAGAAATTACCCCCTACATCACACACAAACTCACAAACTTTACCTTTTTATAATACATATTAGTATAGATTTAGTTTTTTGGAGTTGGATAATTTTTTTACAATTACATAACGATGTAAGCTATTTTATAAAAAATAAAAATTCCCTATTACTTCCTAAACTTGTTAATTCGGCCCTCGTCCTGACAGTGTCTCTGCCATACACACAGTATTCGAACTAAGCACTGATTTCATTGATAATATTCCATCTGTCTTACTCTTTTAATCTGTTTTTGACTTCACATCTGAATAAGTATAAGTTATTAAAAATTAATGCCTTTTTTGTCTAAATGTGTGTGTCACAATTCGGTTACTAAAATAATCTCCTTACAATAAACTAAAATAATTCCAAATAACCTGCAAATTAGTTTGATTAACTTTTTTAGGTACGGTTGGATATATAATTGTAATGCTCTATATTGATTTCGATTAAACCCCACATTATTTTCAGAAATATCTTACCATTAACCATAGATCTTGGTCATATGAAATAGTCCTCCAATGGCGAAGTTTCCAAATGAAATAGTGATGAAACTTTAAAGTTGCGCTTTTAGGCATAATTTTGTGACGTCACACGACCTGAACGACCAAAATTTAAATTTTCTGAGTCATTTATTGATAGATTAATGAGTTTGACCTTAGATATTATAATTCCATTGCATTAAATATGATATTAACAACATCATGAAACTTCTCCATTTTTATATTGCGATAATATATGTCATTTCATGAGATAATCTTATGTTTTTGGATCATTATTACTGCTACTAAACAAAATTGAAATAATATATATTTTTACAGAGAACGCAGTTCAGAAGCCACCAAAAATAAAAGTTGTACATTTTGGAATGGTGTAAATGTCAGCTATAATTATTATACTATTGATTCCGTCCCTAATCTTTATAACAATTATTATCTATATTATGTGCTTTTATATGCCATAACTACCTCTTAAAATGTACTTTTATATAGTATAAAGATATAGAATATTTATAAAATTATTTACTAGAAAGTTCTACTAAAAACATTTTTGAAGTAAAACTTCTTTAGGTGTGACTGAGGGTTAGGTCAATACATTGGAAACATGAGTGTTGCGTAAGTGAGAGTCAAATTTGTTATTAAAAAAATATTCTATATGTATTTATATATTTTTATAATTATTATTATTTTAAAAAATATATATTTATTACTACAATTTTATAACAATTATTACTTATAAAAATGCATATTTATCACATAATAATAATGTTATAAAAAAGATTATACATATTTATATTTTGATTTAATTTAATTGTGGTATCTGCCACAGCGCCAAAGAAGTTTTACTTCAACCAGAGTAAAGGTTACATGCAATCATTTTTTTTTTAGTTTTCTTATTTTATAAACCTTTCTTAAAATCATTACTTAAAATGCTGTCTTGAAATAAATAAAATTCGAAAATACAGAATCTCAAATTGCCATTTATGTATTATAAATATTTCTTGATATTTCTAGATATTTCAAGACTGCCTATTTTTAGTCTTAGGTATTGGTTGTGAAGTTACTTAAAAATATAAGGTATGTTAGTTAATATGTACAACAATATATGAATACTAAATGAAGGCTAATATTTTATATTTTCTACTTGTATTAAATTATCAGCTTACTTCCCTTATGGGTCTCTAACATTGAAAAACACTAATTAATTTTATATTACAAACAATAATACCTATTGTTATAATTTTAAGAACAGATGTACTCAAATATATTATCTATATTTACAAATAACACCTTTGATTTCCTTCCTTACCTACATTGGATATAATTTCAAAAACTGTAAAATTTTAATATTAAAAATTTAAAAACCTAACAAAACATCTTGGACCGATTTTCATCAAACATAGCTAAGAAAACTCCCAACTAATTCACCTTTCAATCAAAATCGAAATCAAATCAAAATCAAATATTTACAAACAATAGTTGTAGAACCGTATTACTGGAGGATACCCCGTTTATCCACCAGGATAATTTTACATAAATCAAATATACAAAAACAAAAATAAAGTGACTTCAAAACACTAAAAAGAAAAAATATCTGAACCGGGGGCTTTCATTTAATATAATATGTATATACCTAATCAGATATTTTCAAGGCGGTGCTTAAAGGTTGAAAAAAGAAAACTGTTAAACAACACGCTAATTTATGTCGAATTAAAATATGGGACACGCCAAAACAAGTCTTAAGAGCCAAAACTCGAGTGATATACGAGTAGCCAATGAAGAGTTCGGTTGAACTGTACAATCTATGACATCGATTTAAGGGAGGAGAGATGGTGGGGGAGGAGGGGAGGGGTGAGAGGGACTCCCCTATAAAAGGAAAAACCGCGGAGGCTAGTAGTTTTCGAGATATTTAATTTTCAAAATTTCAATTTTTGGGGTTATATTAATGTAAAAACAACTTTAAGCGTTACACTTAAGGTTCAATTTGCATTGTTTTATATTTCAACTAGAATAATTACCTAAACACAATTGGTGACAATTATAAGACATCTTTTGCATGTATAATAATAGGTACCGGAAAAAGTGGCTACGGATTATGAAAAAAGTTATAAAAGTTCTAGTCGTTCTGGCACTCGCCGGCCGGTACCGCGGCACGCATGTTTTAACTGTTCTGACCTAACATAACCAACCTAGAAAGAAAGGTTTCTCCCAAAAAATAACCTAAACCTATTTTGATAAAGCTTTCCTGCGTGGAAATAAAAAACAATTGCAACTAACACTAAAACTGACATTTCAAATTGGCGTCGCTTTTCATATTTAGCTAATTCTGACATTGACTTATCACACAACCAATAAACTATGTGCCAGTTTATATTTGTATATAATGATTGATAATAACTCAGAACATAGAATATTGTAATGAACTTTGTGAAAAACATCGATAAGTGCGTGTATAAATGAGGTAAAATTACATAAAAAGTTAAAACTTGAAATTTTTTTTTAACAAAACTATTTGTTTTCGCGGTCTCAAACTTTATATATAGGCTTCTAATAGAGAGATCTATTAGTGGAAAAAATATGAAGTTTCAACTCGATGTCATAGGTTGTACAGTTGAGCCAAGAGTTCCACTAACCACCTCTTGGCTGCATCATCAGGTCAGCTCCAAAATACCAAATTATATTTAACTAGCAACTCACCCTCGCTCCCTACTTACAATTTAACGTTCACTATAGATTTCTCAGAGGTTATATATTTTCCCGCAGTAAAAAGTATTATATACGTTGACCCCTTCGATCAACAATACTACCACGATATTGTAATGCATTTGGATTTTTTAGAAATTCTTCTGTTTTATCATAATCAAGGGTCAAGAGGAATTTTGTGACTTTCTTTTTACATTCCTAATATTGTAACGGTTAGATATTTAAGGTTTTATTAATTTTATTATATATAAGTGCCGACAGGCTTTCAAATTGTCTTGACGCAAAAATAGTTTTTGTGGGTTTACTAAGTGCAACTACATATTTCCTTCTAGTGCAAAGAGTTTATTGTTAGTAGATAAAAGCCGTTCCTCATTGTTACCGCAGTTTAAATCTCTACGTCCTTGAATTTAGTTTTTACCCCTTTTCCCCAGATAGGTATACCGTAAGTTAGGATTGGTTGAGCTAAGGCAGTGTATATTTTCATTAAAAGTTCAGGAGAAGTCACGTGTCTCAGAGTTCTAAACATCCATGAAAGCTTCCTTATCCTGTGTAGCTACATTGTTTATTTGTTGGTGCCATGATAGTCTTTGGTCAATAATGACCCCCAGGTATTTCGTGGTATGAACTTTCTCAATAACAGGACAGAGACAGTTGATTTTGTTATCACTATTGCAATAATGTATTCTTATGTTGAAATTATCGTTTGGCTGTGAGTTGTCATATAGAGAAAAACAGATGTAATTTGTCTTAGAAGTATTTAGTGTCAGGAGATTTCATTGAAGCCAATTTGCCACCTGTGATAGTCCATCTTCAGCTGTTTGTCTAACTTCTTCCCAAGATTTGCCATCAAATAAGATAACAGTATCGTCCGCGTATGAAATTATTTGGGCATTTCGAAGTTTTAAGTTACATAATCCATTTATGTAGGCCAGAAATAATGTTGGACCTAACACACTCCCTTGTGGGACCCGTATGTGTTTTTAGCACTGTCGCTTTTGTAGTCATCAATTTTAACTATTTGTGTTTTGTCAGTGAGGTAGTCTTTAAGTAATTTTAGTGGTGTTCCCTAACACCAAGTCGCTCTAATTTTTGCACGAGAATATGAATTGATACTGTTTCGAACGCCTTTTTTAAGTCTAAGAAAACACCAAGAATTTTTCTGCCATTATCTCATCATCATCATCATTTATGTACAATGAGCGAGCTCAATGTAGTTATTGCATCCCCGGTAGATTTTCTTGGTCTAAAGCCAAATTGTTTCGAAGAAAGTAGATCGTATTTGTCGAAATATTTAATAAGTTGTTTATTTATTAATTTCTCAATAATCTTTCAAAGGGCTGGTAGAACAGACATGGGTCTATAGATTTCAACAAGTTCTCTATCTCCACTTATGTATACTGGTGTTATTACTGCTTGCTTTAGTGTGTGTGGGAATATGCCATCATTAAAACATAGATTAACAAAGTGTGTGATAATAGGAATGATCTTATTTTTCGCATTTTTGAGGAAGGTAACTGGTATATCATCGTGTCCTGTGGCGCTGCGAGATTTCAAAGTCATGAGTACAGCATGGACTTCTTCTGGTGTGGTGTCCAAAAGAACAAAAGAGGAAGTTTGATTATTGCGATCTTGTAGTTTATTATTTGTATCTGGGGGCTTATTAATTTGCTCTGCAAGTTTCTTCCCAGTATTTGCAAAAGAATTATTGACGAAGATAATTAATTCCACCGGGGTCGGCTTGATATATAATAGTTTACTATTATCGGTTTTATTATTAGTTTGATTTGTAACTACTTTTAAGTTTTTCTAAAATAGTCTTGAATTATTTAAAGAGTTAGCTAATAACTCGCTGTCATAAATTCTCTTGACTTTTTTTATAAGATTATTGCAGAAGTTTCTGTACCTTTTGTAGGTGAATTTTTACTCCTCGTTATGAGGTTGGGCCTTGTACCTTTTTTGCAATTTATTTCGGTTACGAATACACCTCAGTATACCTGGGGTTATCCAGGGTTTGATGATGCGCTTAGTCCTAGGAATGTTAATCATTTTAGTATTCTCGTCAAGCGATTGTTTAATTTTGTCAATTAATTGGTCAATTAAAATAGTGGAGTTGTTACAGAAAAGTAGTTGCTGAAGATGTTTTGTGGTTAGGGTTTTTAGTGCTTCGTCAAAGTTAACAACTTTCTTTGTTTTTGTAAATAATTTATTGGGTTTTTGATTGAGAAGCCCCAGTAAGACTGTGTTATGGTCTGTGATGGATGTGTGTAATACTACTATACACGGTGGTAGACAGCTTTTGTTGACTCGTAGGTTGAAGTGGTCCAGGCAGCTATTCAGTCTAGTGGGAAAATGATGTCCAGAAATAAGGCCGTTAGAAGCTAGCATATCCAGAGAGTTTTCCTTGTTATTACAATCTTGAGTTTGTGTTGATAGTTCTGGAATAATATTTATGTTAATATCACGACAAACAACGAGATCTTTTTGTTTATTCAGACTATCAAGGTGTGCATCTAAGGAATCAATAAATCTGTTTGCGTTGTGATTAGCTGGCGACCGATATATACCGAGTGTTATTAGATTATCAGTTTAAATTTGTAAGCAGGATGAGTCATTAAGTTTTATTTCTATGCAATTAATCGATAAAGAGGTCTTCACATAGGCTATTACGCCATCATTTCGATTGAGATGTTGAGATGTAGCGAAATAGTTGTATCCAGCCAAGTTGGGAACAGGTTTGTTACTGTGAAGCCAACATTCCGTGAGTATTATGATATCCACCTCAAACTTAAGACTTGATAAGAAAACTTGTAGCTCATTGAAGTTGCAGTGAACACTCCTTATATTCTGAGTAATAATAGTAAGATCATCTTTTTTAACGTCGAATTGTGAAGTAAGAGGCCCGGGCGGTGGGCCGGCTACGTTCGTTCCGTCACAGTGACGTCACACGCACCCGCGTACATGGGTTTTGCCGGCAGGAACGGCGTAATGTTTATTACTTAATATCTTCGTAAGATATGGTTCGATTTTGAAAATTCAAAAAGATATATCATTCTTATGTCTTATTAAATAACGTGGATACTAGTTCTATGGAATTTGCTATAACTGTACTGATCCTCATTCAAGACTGAATTTTGTAGACAACCCTATATCACCCTGTTTGCAATAAGATTATCTTTATTTTGATATAAGTTTTATTTATTAACCAGACCGGTGCACATTACTATTATTGACTTACCTGTTATCTGTTTATACCTGCCTACCCAATAGTTCTGACGGAAAAAAAATTACCAATCTAACGTTTGCATATTCTATCGACTCCATACTCTCGATTGGTATGTAATTTATCTATTAACCGAGCCAGTGCAATGTTTAAAAAAAAATATTTTCTAAATATTTAATTAATAATATCCTGGACTGAAATTTCTCAGCCAACGTACTCACGATATATTTTTTAACATATTAAATTTGATATAAAATACTTTTTATCCATTAACCATCCCGGCGAAGGTGTTTATATCCAGATCTTAGACCATTAAGGGATATCGCAAAACCTTTACAAAAGAGTTGCTTCAGCTCAACAAGTGTAAAACCAGTGCGGTAACCAGAATACTTACTGGCCACTGCAAACTCAATGAACATATGTTTACCCTCGGCCTCAGTCAGACCGCAATGTGCAGACTATGCCATGAGACAGAGGAAACTGCCATGCACATCCTCTGCTCGTGCGGACCACTCATGCACCGCAGAAGTTTCTGTCTAGGGCAGCATATTATACAACCGAAAGAGATGTTCCGCGCTCAGAAAATCTGGAAGTTCCTGGAGTCAACAGGACTAAGCGGAGAACTCTAAATTCACTTTAAAGTGAGCTGTAATGGACCATAACTGGTCGACGTAGCTAGGGCCGACCTCGGCACCATACCCGATAAAATATAATATTAATAATGTATTCGATAAGACATATATTGCAAAAAAACGTGCAGGACAACGCCGTGTGAACCCAGCATAATGCGCGGTACTGAATATTAAAACGAGTATTTTAGTCTAAATTGGTTCAATGGGGGATTAGCATAAAGGCTAGAATATGACAATTTAAAACTCTCTTATATTATACTAGCATTGACCGCGGCTCCACCCGCGTTCAGATGACCAAAAACCAAATTCTTAGGTTTTACATATTAGTATACTCTTACATTGCAATTCTTGTATTTTTTCTCAGAAATATTTTCCCGTGGTAAAAAGTATCCTATATGTTGACCCGGATAACCAGCTATCACCATACCAAATTTCATCAATATATATCCCTCCAGTGGTTTTTCCGTGATGCGGTAACAGACACACAAACAAAAATTTTAAAAACTATAGATTCTGCCTCTATATTGATAATAATGTCTATTTCAATAAGATTTTCCAAAAAATATTTAATGTACAGATCCGGCTTAGTTACAATTTTGTTATATGTATAGATTTATAAGAAAACTTAGCTAGAAACAATTATTTAGAAACATGCAGTGTGCCTTCTGCACCCCCGTTAATTAATACCTATATTATGTTGGAACATATTAGAAAAAAAATAGCCTAAAGGCACATTCCATTCTTGGAATAGGACAATTGAATTAAAACAATGATTATAAAATGTAATTGTTGAAAATACTACATTTGGATAGTTAATGAAATGAGACATTATTTAATGCAAAAATAATAACATTAGAATTTAGAAATGATGTCATTTAAGTCTTAGGATGATATCCTTATGGAAACAAAGATATATGTTGAAACTCGCCAAATCAAATCACATGAAAACATGTCTTCATATTTTATAACATGACTTTACTTTATATATTTTTTTTTGTATAACATTTTTAACAACAAACCAATGCAAAGCTAATCAACTAGAGGTAAAACAAATAAAAGATTAATTACAGTTTTCTGTTTTTATTGTTTTTAGTATTATTGGAACCCATTAACTGCAAATAGTATCAGAATGTGGAGATTAATTTAGTTCTTGATCTTCTTCTTAGGGCGGAGGTTGTTGGTGTGTCCGCACTTCTTCTTACGGCAGTTAGTTGCACGAGGGTGGAGACGCGCGTAGCACTTGCGGCAGATCATTTTTTCGCAATTGTACTTACAAGCCAAGATGTGAAGAGAGGGTTCAATAGTACCTAAAAAAAATTTTTATATTTTCTGATTTCTTACTGTAAAATATAACTGTAAAAAATACATATTCAGTAAACAACTTTACCTCCACGAAGCCGAAGTACTAAATGAAGTGTAGATTCTTTTTGGATGTTATAGTCTGATAAAGTACGTCCATCTTCTAACTGTTTACCAGCGAAGATCAATCGTTGCTGGTCTGGTGGGATACCTTCCTTGTCTTGAATCTTAGCCTTTACATTTTCTATAGTATCGGAGGCTTCCACCTCAAGAGTGATGGTTTTACCCGTAAGGGTTTTAACGAAAATCTGCATTGTGGAGCTGTAAAATAATTAACGTTTAGTAATTAGTTTATTCAACTACTAGAATTTTGAGTGATGCCAATAAATGAAGAAAAACAAAAAGTCTTCGTCAAAATGACACGCCACGCGGATTTTCAAATATGGAATATGAAAAACAAATGAAGTGAATATTAATTTGATACTAGAATTGTCAAAATAAAAAAAAAACGAAATTATACAATTTAAGGACAAAATCTTCAATAATTTACACTTAAAAATATTTTTTTAAATAACCTACCTCAAATGTGCTCGGTACGATTGTCAAAAAGAGCTATGAAAGAAAAAATGGCGATTGGGAAAACAACACTTGTCATTGACAGATTAAAAAGAATTATAAAAAATATAATATATTGTTGAACAAAATATTATGATAACATAATATACAGTTTTATTTCATGTCGATATGTATTTATTACTATTTTTATTATGTCCCAATTTTATAAATTGATATACATTTATAGAGCGTTACTAAATGTAGTATCGTTCAAAAACTTAACAGCATTTATAAATAAGTAAACCAAAATTCATTTTTTTAATTGTATTATTTTTATTAACTTTACAAACTTATAAATTTTAATCATCTTAATAACTTACATAGTGTAAATTAAAGAAACATTTACATAATTCAGACTCTTGTCAAAACTTATTTTCCGAACGCTATTGATTCGGATAAGTACTTGTTTCGTAACAGGTCGACTTTTAACTTTTAAGCCTCATTCTAAAAAACCAATATCTATTCAGCTTAGCACAATGTATCACCAACTGAGCAAATTTACCGGCAGGCTTATGGCTTCCACCAATCTGCAAAGCCCACTATTCCCAGTTGTAAGTACACAGTATTGATTCATCAACCTTACTTTTTGAGATAATGTTGGAACTTGTATTGATTAATATATAATACTCTAGGCGCCGATTGCCTTACAAAGGGTGAACCCTCCAGCTATTCAATACAATACTTCTCATATGTCCACTGTAACTGAGGCTTCAGCCTGCCCTGCACCTGGTTCTAGGAGGCTCGTCCCTGGTACCAACGTTCCTTACTCACCCGTTAACGAAACCATAAGGAAACGCCAAGAACTCTTCCAGGTAAATTCTATATAATTTAAGTTTGTTAATTTAAAAAAAAATACACTGGTTTCATGTTATTTATTCATATATTAATCAATTCATATTTATTTCCAAGTTAAATAATACTTAAATCATATTTTATTATAATTGTGAAAGTTTGTATGTGTGTTTCTGTTTGTTTTCATGCTGAAATAGCTGGATGGATTTGAATGGAATTTAGTACATAGACTATAAATTGAAGTAACATATAGGATACTACTGTTTGGCTCTTATGGAGAGTAATTTATAAAATAACATAGAACTTAAGAACAACTCTATAACCCACCCAATGAAACTTTTTTAAACTAATTTTAAATAAAATATATCCAAGTTATATTTTAAAAATTTAGTAATCCCTAAAACACTAGTTAAAAGGTTTTTAATGTGGGCTTTTATAAATGTGTCCTTTTTATTGATTCCAGATGTAAAAAAGAAATACAAATATGTTAAAAGTTTTAACCATAATTTACATAGTTTTAGATTTTCAATTAATATTTTCCTGATATTTAATGGAATTGAGTATTATGATAATAAATTTATTTAAATTTTATTACAGAAAGACAATGATGTGCCTGTTTTCCTGAAGGGTGGTCCATTTGATGGTATCTTGTACCGCTTCACCATGTTTCTGTGCGTTGTTGGCCTTGTTGGCATTGGACACGCTATCTACATCCACGCTGTACCCAAGAAGCAATAAATGAAATAGATTTATTCCTAATTTATGTATTAGATGCCTGTGTTAATAGTACTCTTTTATTGAAAGTAAAGAACTACAGACTATATTTTTTTTATTGCATATTTATTTAAATAAAAATCATTGGTAGGTAGTATGAAATATTATCTAGTAGGGAAGAATTATTTTAAAAATTCTTTCATATAGCATAAAACATTTTCTTGTTAAGAAATTTCATTAAAAGTTTACACAAAAGACTTTATGAAGTAGTACCATTAAATAACAGAAATATGGAGCAGATATTAAGTTATCAACATGATTACTTCCCAGAGGTTGAAATAACAAACCAAACTCTGCTTATACCAATAGAATTTTAGTAGACTATAACAACATTGTGATTAGTTTCTGCTAAATCAGTGAACTGCTCATAAACAAATTAGCTATAAATATTGTAGTGATTGATGCAAAACTATGCAGACTCTTTATCTACAATGAACAGCCTGCGATAGTTAAAAACAAGGCAAATGCATAAAGCGCTGCAGTTAGCATTAAACAGAAATATGAGCTCTATAAAAAATATTAAAATGAAAGTAAACGTAGGTCTATTCTCATTTCAACTCTAATTTGATTATTATCGGACGGGAAGAAAAATTATTATATGTAAATTATGTAGTTCAATCAATACTGAAACTAATGATATTACTTATAAATCCGGCTTCGTATTATTACTCTAGCCTTAACGAGGTCACGCTGACTGCCCAAGTTTCGCACTTACATCACGTAGTGTATTTTGCTATCTGTTCTAAATGCATGTTGCAATCAAAATTGCTTTCCAATTATATTGTCGAATTCAAAAACTGTAAAAGTAAACTATACTCTTTGTTTTAATCAGTTTCAACCTCTAGATTTGCTCTATCAAGACTCAGACGGTATGGACACGTAATACGTGGGCCCAAGGCCCAACGATTACTTGGTGAAAAAGTGCCTTTCCATGGCTACAAGAGGAGCAGGGGAAGACCCCAAGCTACTTCGAATGTCCAGAGGGACATGAATGCCTCGTCCTCACCGACGAGGACGCGAACATACGATCTACGTGGCGTCGCATGATAAGGAAAGCTGACCCCGCGTAACGGGATAAGGCGAGGACGAAGAAGAAGAACCTCTAGATTTGCTCTCAGAACGCTTGCTTAATATGGGCATTCCACGCCAAATCGGACGGTTTCAAAAAAAAATATTTTTGATTTTCTTAATATTTTGGTATTATTTTTTCTTCTTCTTTCTCATTCCCTCACTGATGACGATCGTGACCATTTATGATTTTTTTTCAGTCAGTTCGGTTCAGCGATGCCTGGACTGCAGCAAACAGAGTAGCGCCCACTGCCTTCTTTATTGCGTCTGACCACTTTATACGTGCACTTTCCCGTGCGCATTTACCGTCAATTTGGCATAAGTTTCTTTAGACTATGCTTGGATGATCGCATAATATGTCCAAAAAGTCTTAAGGCTTTTTTTTGACAGAAGATGGCCAGCCGCTCCGTGATCTTTAACCTCTCAAAAGAGGGAATGAAAAAAAAAATTTCAAAAGTCGAAAAAAAAATGTTGTAACTATGAAAGTCCCACTACTGGACTGGAACTTAGAAGTGGACTGGGCCTAAAAGTTGCATGATGAAAAACAAATCTATCCCACGGGATCCGTACATTTTTCCGGAATAAAAAGTAGCCTATTTGTTACTGTGATATATGAACTATATTATTGTAGTTTCATTAAAATCCAATTCGTAGTTTTTGTCTACTAAGCTGTATAAGTTACTATAGTTTTTAACTATCCCAAGGGAACTCTTTAATTTTCCGTAATGAAATGAAACAAAAAAATTGAAAAAAATTGGGATTTGTTCTATTTCTCTTCTTACACCCCCCTGACTCGGTTTTTAGCATTTTTTTCTATGTACAGACATTCGACCTCTACAGTTTTATTATAGTATAGATATAAACACCCATGCAAAGAGTATGTAACTCTTTTTTACCCATGACTGGAGTACCTACAAACATTCGTGCTCCTCACACAAGTAAATGCCCCACCCCCCAGCCCAGCGGGACGATCGAACCCGCGATCGCTGACACAGCAATTAGTAGGCTAGCTAGGGTCACTACAAACGAGGCCAAAAGTGTCGTTATTTACTTATTTATTTTCTTATGATCCCACTACGTTGTTCTTGTAGCCGGAGGGTATTATATTCAGATGTTTTAATAAACATAAATAGGATAGTACTAATTATGGAAATGAAATAAAATGCCTTTTGAAATCAAACAACTTTTTATTTTGCCATAGTTGAGTAGCTATACGCTATGTAATTGTGTATAGGTTAGGTAGCTAGCTATAACAATACTTTTCCACTGTTTCGATCATAAAAAGTATAACATTTATAAAGCACTACTACACTACTTCATTGCAAGTTGTTTTGATGGTGTGAGTTAATAACGATATTATATTAGAACAAACCATTCAAGCGTAAAAACGCACTTTGAAATTAAAAATTAAGTAATAAAAGAAATTAAAAATGCAAATCAGGTACATTTACAATTTAATGCAATTAGATGCAATGATTAACTGGTTAATTTTAACCAAACAGCCAAATCAAAATTAAAGTTGTTACACGTAGGTAATATTTTAATATAAACATTGTAATATTTTTCTATAATAAATTATTTCGTAATAATAAATAAGCACATGAAAGTGTGACATGATAAGTCCGATAGAGCTTCTTTGTTATTTAATTAATATACTGTTAACCAAATTAAATGGGGAATGTAAAAAAAGTAAAATGTGTGAATTTCTTTTGAGGTGTTTAAGAGTAATACATACATATGCTTACTTGGACTTTAATAAAATTGAGGGAGTTACATAAACCGTTTATTTGTTACTCCTCCAAATGAGCTACCAAGCTCTTGGAGAATTTTGATGTACAATAAGCTAAATAAATCAATAAGTATAAAAATAAAAAAAATATAAACTAACAAGTTAAAATATAACTAAAAAAATAACTATTAAAATTGCTTGTATACAAAAATAGGAAATAAATATTGATTTGACAAATCGTTGATAAAAACAGTGATATCGTTCTCATGATGAAATTTATCAGATAACTTTGTCGAATATTTTTACTTTATACATTTTTAGTGACAAAAAATACGTATTTCATAATCATTTCGTGAGCGTAGTATTTCTTTATAAGAAAAAATCCTAACCTAAATTATTATATTTTGCAATCTAATTATAATATTTATACCATAATTTGTTCCAACTCTTAACATTTTTATAAAATTTCTAATGATTAAAAACTCAATTTGTATTCTATTGTTCGATGTGTAATATAATAACAATAAATTAGTAATTTTACTACAAACTTAATTATAACATATAAATCGTATCCAATACTTAAATTCACGTACGAATAAGTTGCACATTATTACAATAAACATAGGAACAAGAATAAGTTTGCTTCAAAACTAACGATTTTTCATGATCAACAAACATCTAATCTTTTATCAATTATACTATGATTGTTTACTATTAAGTATGAGACAAGTGAGATCAACAATAACCTGACTTCAACTTAAGTTTATCCCTTTTAAATGATTTTGATCTGTAAAATTATCCATAATATGTCAATACATATTGTTACATTGAGTAATAATTTTATATATAGAAAAGGAGGTAAAATTATAATTTTTTTAATAAATAATGACCAACGTTTTAACCAATTATATCACAGCCTACCGAACTTAATATTTTATAAATGTATCACTCACGCATATTACTTTTAACTATAATACTTAATGCACTTTATTACCAGTTGATTCTACAAAAGCACGTATTTGATCGATTATACAATAAATGGATAAACAATTCTAACAAGATATAACAGCAGATAAATATACATACAATATAATCTCAAACTCGGATAAGTACAGTAAGGGAAGTCTATGTAGGCCGAGGGCGAGCCGGTAAAGGAGGAGGTGCACCTTGTCGCACAGGTACTGGAGGGGGAGTTCCTGTGGGGGGTGGAGTGTTGCTTGTTGGCAGCGGAGGGGGAGCGCAAGTTGGAGGAGGAAGACCATCGGCAGGAGGAGACGTTAACGTAGGCGCACTGACGCTTCCTGTCATTGTGTCATTCTGTAATGGTGCAGGCCTGGGCGGGGGTGGTCGAGCAGGACTTGCTGCTGGGGCTCTAGACGGCACTAGAGGTGTCGGCGAAGGGGCAGGTGGTCGGCCAGGTTGTTGTCGACGAGGGGTGGGTGGTGCAGACCGCAGAGGGCGCTCAGTCGGTAATTCTCCAAACAATGGAACCGTATTGTTTGAACAAAGACTTATCTCTGATTTTACGATATTAATCCAATCAGGTGACTTTAATGATATGACCAATGGAATCGCACAAGCTGATATTTTACCTTTCTGAGCGGCAGTCAGTGCATGTTGACCATCTCTAAAAGTAATACTTAATGTATGATCGTCAATAAAACGTACTAATGTTACTTCACCAATATTGGCCAATTCTTGCAGTACCCCTGCCATCACATTATCATCAAAAATAGATTCTTCAGTATCATATTCTTCCATGGGTTGTACAATAATGCTAGCATCAGGCGGTCCCAAGTCCTTCACTACCTCGTAAAATACTTCCATACATTTTGTATAGCTCACTTGTAAAACTTCTATTTCTAAAATAGCAATCACTGGACGATGATCGCTTTGTTTGAGTTCAGCTCTTCCATAATGCAGCAACTTTCCGGCAGCTAATTCAGAAGTTGTTTCTGGATCAATGGTATGCTTTCGGCTTCTCCACAGGACACGATCAGTCCATGCAGGTGCTCGACATTTTTCGCTTGTGTCATAGTCATCACTGAATAAATCATATTTGTAAGTAGGAAGGAAAGTTATTTCCCCTTCAAAACAATTCTTGAAAACTAAATCTTGCGATTTTTGTCGAAGTAATTGATCTTGTTCTAAGAGTCGTTGCATATTGTTTTGAGCTGCCAATAAACGAGTTTCATCTTTATCTAAATCAATTCGATAATTAAAATCTCCACACCAAAAGACATAATCATGAGAATAAAGAGATCTCCCCATAGGAAATGCTACTTTTCGTGTTATTTCAGTGTAGTCAGCATTGCGCTCACTAACTTGTGACTGACCTGCAGCAAAATGAGCACACACGAAACATATAGATGTTCCGTAAATAACTAAGCGTATGGCTACAGCCCCCTTATTACCTGTAGCACCACCAAGTCCAGTTTTAACAGAGTCAAGAGCCACATCTCTTATATGTGGAATTAAGTCCTTTCTGGCAAATACAAAGAGACAAACTCCAACCAACTGATGACTTGACAACAGTGTGTATGAAGCATCTCTTGCTAAAACTTTATCTAATTCTTCTCTCCAAGCTTTAGCATTATCTGAACTAGCTGCCATAATATTGCTTGCATTTAAATCAACTATTTCTTGAAAACCAATTGCAAATATATCAGATGGCTGGTCTTTTAAGTTAACAGTATTTACTAAAGCAGAATTTGGACTATCCAATAGCCAATCAGCAAGTGACACATCCTTATATGCAAGGCTTCTGAAGTGTTTACCACCATTTACATTATATGTGCCAATTGTTATACGAATACTGGAAGGTTGAGTAAATTCGCTAGCCCTTCTGCACATCTCTCTTAGTACAGGAGTTGAAGTGTGCAGTATATTTGATGGCAACAAAATTCTTGTACGGTCGGAAAGTTCAGAATTTAAAGTTGATCCTAAAAGCAATATGTCTATTGCTTCTTGCTTAGAGTTATCTAATAAATTATTTTGTATTGTTCGAGCAGCAGATCTAGCTCCATCTATCAGTTTTGAACCACCTTGTATTGCACCAGTTCCTGCATAAATTTTTGACACTTCATTTCCATTATTCACCCACATCTGCTTAAAAACTTCTTCAAATCTATTAACATTTTGTTTTTTATCAACACACTGCAGCAGCATCAGCTGTATAGCAAGCATTTCTAAGCCTATAAATGTCTGTATAGCATTTGTTCTATCCAAGCAATCCAAGCAGTTTGTACGTATTACACCTTTTTGTACATTATAAATATCAACACTTTTTGCACTAAAAATACTGATATTATCATAATACTTTTCAACTATTTTCTTAAATTTCGAAATTGCTGTTTCAATGGATGCAGCTTTAACTTCTTGGTGATAATCAAAAATAATTTGAACTACATCTGTGTGGGCAGATTCATTAAGGTGTCTCTGAAAGGCATTGCTCAGAGTGGCTTCACCTTCACTACCACCAATCATGCTTGATCCTAAGAGATTTACAACAACAAGTGATCCATAGTTTCGTTTTAATTGTGAGAAATGCCTATCAAATGCACTTGTTGATGCATCATAGCCTCGAGACATCTTAACCTTATGAGACCCAACCTGTATACCAGGTTGTTCCCAAAATAAAGGGACTGATCCTCTAGTTTGAATATAGGATGCCACTGAATCATCAATATATATTGCTTGCTCAGTTTCCACAAAGTTTGCAACATTACCATCATCATTACACCCTCTAACATTAAATCTTGTTCCTGCTCTTTCACAGCTCAGTCGAGAAACTAAAACGGCTCTTGCTTGCCTGTGCCCCACATAGATTGTTCTAATTTCAACAGATCCACAAATTGCTCTAGTAAGCCAGTCATCACAATCAATCCCAAATCTTATTAGATGTATAAACAAAGTCCTATTCCAGAAAAATCTATTATCTGGATTAGCTCCTTTACTTTTCCTTTGGGCGCATAATGTGAGATCAAACAAATTATCGGTAGATTTTCCTGTATTCCAAGAAAAGTAAAAAGTTCCTGAATTAAGTAATTTTCTCACTTCAGAAACCTTATCTTCCCCTTGTGATTGATAGAAAAGAGGCAAAAATTGAGTTTGCGTAATCTTGAAGACTTCAATATCGCCGACCTTGCCAACTGAGCAGCATCCTATGACTAGAACTAAGTACAGCAAGCAACTTTCACCAGAATTCAGTTGTAAGACGCCCAAGCATCCATAAGCGTCAGCTACTTTATGATATTGTTTACGCAAAGTTTCTGTTTCTTGAGAAGATAGAGATACAACCGCTTGAGATTCGAATAATAATGCAGTATCTTTATTTCTATGTTGTAAAATTATACTGTACGGATTAGGCGGTGAAGACTTTTCAAGTACTTTGAATCCTTTAGACATAGCCATTGTGGCTGTCCTTATCTAGTCACGACAAACACTCATCCGCCCCCTAATAAAATTATTTAGAAAATCTAATAATTAGATTTTGTGTTAGGCCACCAACCTAAGACCAGCACTTTATAAAATATAAATGTCACTAATGTCAAATAATACTACATTTCAGTGTTGCCAACACTTGAAATTTTATCGCCCTAAGAGTGATTTCAAAAACCCCTACAACCTCCAACTGACAATTTGAAAAATGTAGGTTTTATCTAATACATTTTTTTAAATGATTACAAGTAGCGTAAAAAAACTTATTTATGGTTATTATTATAATAATTACATATAACCATTTAATAATAATAATTAAAAAACTTCATAGATAACTAAGAAAATAGTTAAAAAAGTATAAATTATGATATTTATTTAAAGATACATGATTTTTTCAAGTCTTTAAATGAAACTTGATATAACGTTATTTATATTTATAATGCTATTAAGAAAAAAGCCCTAAAAAACCCCGTGCAACTTTTTTACCTCTAAATTCGGGGGGAAACCCCTAAGTTGACTAATCTGTCGCATTTTTACATTATTAATGTCAAATTAGGGCACAAATTCAGAATTGGGGACTTGGCCCCTAGCGGAGTGGGTGGTATTTCTGGATAAGGGACGTGATAGGGAGTCGAAATGTTAAATAAATTTTTTAATACAACAAAAGATTCAAAAGTTATTGAGACTTAAAGTTACAACATTTCCATACATTTTCATATATTTCTTTACCACCATTCGGAGTGGGTGGTATTTTTAGATAGGGGAGGTGACAGAGAGTCAAAATATATTAAAAATATTTGGAGGAAACGTACGACTAAAAAGTTATTGAGACTTAAAGTTATAACATATCTAACACATTTCCATACATTTCTTTACCTAAATAAGTGATTACAACAGATAAACATACCTTTAACGAATAGTACGCATCCTTTTTTATGTACATTACACATTTTCACAACAATTAATGCTTTATTGTATTTAATATTTTAATAATTTCACAACACAAACAAAATGATCTTACATTTTGACAAAAGCAAAACTGACACTTTGTTTTATATTACCGCTTAAATGACAACAGATTATATTTGATTATTTTTGCTTTTTCTGTTGGTAAAATATTAATATTAATAAATAAATAAATAAAAAGAAAAATATTATTTTCACTTTATAAATACATTTATAACTTTTTATTTGATTTATGTAAAATATATTGTTTTACAATTGTACATTTAGTAAAAAAAATCATTTTTTTATCAGTGAATATTTTTAATTATTTATTTATTATTCGTCATATCTGGGTTAGGTTAGGTTAGAACATTTAAGATTATTTATTTATTATTCCTCATATCTGGGTTAGGTTAGGTTAGAACATTTAAGATTATTTATTTATTATTCCTCATATCTGGGTTAGGTTAGGTTAGAACATTTAAGATTATTTATTAATTATTCGTCATATCTTGGTTAGGTTAGGTTAGAACAGTTGCCACAACGCACGAGCCGAGCGAGCGAAGCGAGCGTGCCGCGGTAGCGGCCGGCGAGTGCCATAAATGACTAGAAAACTAGAAAATTCGAATTTCACGCAAAGTACAAATAAAGACAATCATCTGGAGATCATTTTGACAATTAAAAGTGACGTTTTGACTCCCAAGTGTCTAAATGGTAGTAATGTCAAAATAATGTATGGAAATGTTGTAACTTTAAGTCTCAATAACTTTTTACTCTTTTGTTGTATTAAAAAATTTATTTAACATTTCGACTCCCTATCACGTCCCTTATCCAGAAATACCACCCACTCCGCTAGGGGCCAAGTCCCCAATTCTAAACGGCCGCCCAAATTAGATTCTAACCTTCCAGCTTTTTACAACCCTGCCCTGTATTATTATAATATTTGCCCTGTGAAAGGAGGGAGCCACACGTATAGCCTATTTACATTCAGTCTGAGGTTAAGCAATTTATTGTGATATTTCTTTTATACCTGGCTTTTTGCTTTTATTGTGTTCGGTTTTACCTCTGCTTGTCTTTCTTGTTGTCTATTGTACCTGGAAGTTACAGTTAAAAGAAGGAGAAGTGCGTCCTGAGATGGTCCTGACTGACTGATGGATAGTGGATACACACAGCCTAAATCGCTGGTCGTACAAACATGAAATTTGGAGGACGTATTCCCTATATGATTTAGGCATCTGATAAGAAATGGTGTTTCGAAATTCATCCCTTAAGTGAGTGAAATAGGGTGGAGTAAAAATTGTATGAAACTCTATCATTCTTATTATGAAATACACAGAAAGTGGTGAAAAATAAGAAATATATTTATTTGATTTTTTGCAAAATTATCTCTTAAAGGGTTAAAAGGGGGTAATAAAGTTTATATGGACAAAGATTTATTTATGGTGAGAATTACTTGAAACTTGGTATTATTGATCTTCAATACAATTAAATAAATACATGATTTAGCATTTTTCGAAATTTAATCCCGTAAGCGGGTAAAATGGGGGATGAAAGTTTGTATAAAACTCTGTAATTAAAATGTAACAAACTACAATAAAAAATATTCACCTGTAGATGATTTAAGAGTTTTAAAATCATAGTTGCAAAATTCGAGGTTGAGCATTATGCCGCATGATGCGCTTTAGTGCTGTAATTGAAAAAGGCCCTTGTTTATTTGCTATATTAAAATATATTATGTATATGTAAAAATAGTATTATCTATTATTACATTTATTAAAATAAATGGTTAAAAAATGACTCGTTGACCAATAAGTAAACAGAACTATTTTAGTACAGGTACATTTTATTCACTTTTTCCGTGATTCCCTATTGTTGTTCCTTCATATACTGGCATACTATTTTCTGTAGAGACTAGTTAAATTATTTCGAATATTTGTTTTAAATATTAAGTTTTTATAATTATGGAGCAATAATAACAATATAATTAATTATTTGAGCATCTTGTGCTGTATAGTTTTGTAATGTTTAGAGCTCGATTAAGATCTATAGAAATACAATCACCAAAATAAGAAAATCTTATAATTTATTTAATTAAAACTTGTCCAGTGTCTTAAACATTATTTTATCTCGAGGAAAGAACTCCCTTTACTATCTGCTAATAGTTAAAATAGGTAATAGTTAAAAGAAAAATAGGAAAATAAAACCATTTGAAAGGATATATTAATATAATCTATACACAAAATAAAATTCTAAATTAATCGAATGTGTACATTATTTTTTGGAAATTCTTATTGAAATAGTCATTTATTTCATTATCGATACAGAGACCGAATCTATAGTTTTTAGTTTTTTTGTCTGTGTCTGGAAACGCTTTATGCTACTATTATATTCCCCCGCGAGTACTGTGTGGCGGATTCAGTGCAATTTTATTGAATCATTTATTTGTAGTTAATAGTTATATATGCTTAAAACAGTTTAAAGAGGATAGAACTTTAATGGTATTGCCAAATGCTAACATTACATTTTTTTAAGGTTTATATAGATAATAGTAAAAAAATAAATATCAAAGTGTTAGCAATATAATACCTAAATTGTCAAGACACAAGGCTTAAGTTTTATTAAATTATAAATAAAAATTAACATATCTCTCATAAAGCGCGATAGACTCTGGCGGTACTGTGATGCCGTTAGTGCGATTCACGTACTCTTCATAGATATTTCTGGAGGCCTTGCTGACTGTGGGAGGGATGACTTCTATGGAGCTGTCGATGGTGAATGCACTACTTACTGTCATCACTATGTGGAGGTCCGATTTATACCGCGGATTAGACCTACGTTCGAAGTTTACATAACGTTTGTATCTGAAAATGAGGGTTATTTTTAAATGTTTTTTTTTCCTGAGACAAAAAATATAGTTAAATTAAAAGTAATGATAGGTCATTGTTTCTCAGGCGCGTCCCTAGCCAGCTTTTTATAAAATACTTATGTCGTCATTTTTTTAATTTTAAGAAGATTTTGTGTTACATATTAATGCAGTGCATTCACTGGACAAAAGGATTAAAATAAAAAAAAAATGCCATTACACTGCGCTTTCAAGAAAAAGTTAGTGTAATTTTAAGCAATTAGCGAAAAAGATTTCGTAATAAAAATGTAATTTAAAAAATATATATATCCTCTTTCTTGAATATATGTAGACATTATTTCAGTATGGAATAAAGACTTTACAGAATTTAATACAACTAGTCTGAAGATCATATTTAAGCAGAGATAATTATCTAGTGATTTTCAACCGACTTCAAAAAGGAGGAGGTTCTCAATTCGACTGTATGTTTTTTTTTTTTTTTTTTTTTATGTTTGTTACCTCAGAACTCCGTCATTTATTAACCGATTTGGACAATTTTTGTTTACTTCTAATTGTCATATTGACTTGAAACTTTGCAAGTATTTCTATTTCCGTTGATAGTACAGTGGTTTGGTGTTATTGACCTGATCAGATGGCATGGAACTCTTCAACGGCTAATAGTAGATACTTTGAGTTTGGGCTTATTTTGTTTGATTTGACAAGCCTAACACGTTAGAATCCTTACTATGCTACTACTGTCTACACTAAAAAGGGAAAAATAAAAACTTTTTAACAAAAAAATAAAAACCGACTTCAAACAAAAGCACTAAAAAGTAAAAAATAACTGATTGGTAGTTTTCATTTACTATACATACCTAATCAAATATTTTCGAAGTCGGTGTGCTTTGGCTAAGTAATTAAAGCCTACCTATTTAATACATACCTAATGAAATATTTTCGAAATCGGTGCCAGCCCATACAAAGCAAAGCACACCGACTTCGAAAATATTTGATTAGGTATGTATAGTAAATGAAAACTACCAATCAGTTATTTTTTACTTTTTAGTGCTTTTGTTTGAAGTCGGTTTTTATTTTTTTGTTAAAAAGTTTTTATACGTTAACTAGTAAACCAACAATAAATATGTATATCATTTAAAACTTACAATAGCATGTCGAGTCTGCTGGGTTCTTGTAATTTAATACTGTTGTACCGTTTTATGGCTGGAAATGGAAGCGTTTCTTCAGTATCATTTTCTTCTAGAAGTTTCGCCACCATAGTAATGGGAGACACGGCGGGTTGGCGGGAGCTCGGCGTAGAACTTGTGAGGTCGTCATCCGACGTGGAATCACTGTTTGAACTACAAAAAATATATTCATTAGTAAATTATTTTAACGCAATATTTAAATACTAGCACTACTGTGTAGCATCGATACAGAAATTACCATTAACAGAGCCGACATAAGTTATCCTGTCCGAATTTCAATTAATTTCATGATTTTTGAATTCATACAAAATTCTATTGAAAATATTAGTTATATAAAAGAGAAGCACTTTGAAGTTTACTCAATTTTTCAGTAAAAATTGTTTTCACTTTAAACTTTATCTAGACTACTATTAAAATCAGTCCAGCCGTTTTCAAGAGATGTGAGATGTTCTTATTTACTTATATAAATACTAGCGACTCACCCTCGATTCGCTCAGGTTCATCCCTTGGTGCGTTTTGACGCTTAGTATGGAATAGTTTTTTTTTTCATTGTTTTTTGTGAATTTTTCCGATGTTTTAATAGTTAGTATTATAGTTATTATTATATTAGTACATATGAATTATATCATTAATATTATGTAAAAAACATCACTTACTCGCTAGAATTATTGGATGTAGTACTCGATCTTCCACTTATCACTGGATTCTTAGAGCTGGGCCCCTTCACTTGCCCCACGGAGCGACCGCGCACTACGAATGGGCTCAGACTTTCATAAGAACTCGGCGCCAGGTCCCGTAATGTATGGTACATCTATACAAATAAATGAAATTGAAGTCTTTTTGTAATGTCAACATAAAAGCTTTTTACTAAATGCTTATGAGATTATATACGGCACTTAAAAAAAAACCACAATTTTTAAAATGTTTGTCTGTCCGTTTGTTCCGGCTAATCTCCGAAACGGCTAGACCAATTTTGACGGCACTTTCACTGGCAAATAGCTGATGTTATAAAGAATAACCTAGGCTACTTTTATTTTAGAAAGAGAATTAAGGTTCCGCACAAAAAAAACGTAAAGTACATAGGGACGCACCCGAGCGAAGCGTGGGGAAGGCGTAATTTATTACAATTATGAAATTAATTTGAAATTAAAATTAATTCTATCCTCATTGTATTTAAATTACTTTGCATTTAAAATACAGAGACAAATATTTACATCCACTTTTCCAACGAGATCATTTTTCGGTTCATTTACATTTTATCCCATTTACCCAATAAAACAGATTTTAGACCAGGGCTGCCAGTAGAGCAAACTTATTTTATAACGCTGGGCCACTCAAATTATACCAAATCAAATTTTATTATACAAATAACAAAACTGTTGAGAAATAGTCTGTGATGAATAAAAAAATTCAATATAAAAATACGTAATAAATTAAAATTAAATATACATAAAATAACCTTATTTTACAATTTTCGTATTCATATATACAATCTGGCAGCCCTGCTGTAGACACTCATCTGTTACTACCAGCTCAAAGTCACCTTGAACTCGAAGCAGTCGGTGAACACGGTGTACTCGAAGGGGCGCGTGTGCTCGTGGTAGGGGTCGATCATCTCGAGCGCGCCGTCGCCCTGCATGCCGATGATCTCGCAGCACAGCTTGCGCATCTCGTTGCTCGGCCGCGGTAGGAACTTTAACACTTCGTCGTCCCACCACTTTGTTAGTGATCTATAAATATAATATAACATAAAAAAAAAATTGTATTCGGTCCTTTTTAACGTCCCACTGCTGGGCACGGGCCTTCCTTCAGTATGAGGGGGATCAGGCCGTAGTCCACCACGCTGGCCAAGTGCGGGTTGGCGGACTTCACATGTCTTTTGAAAACTTGGTTCTCTCAGACATACTCACGATGTTTTCCATCACCGTTAAGACGAGTGGTAATCATGTTGAAAAAAGAAATAAATTAATTACGTAAATATAAACGTTTGGTTACAGATGAAGAGCTAAGTCGTAAGAAGAACACTCGGACATAATATGTATCCAGACTTGCAACAAATACTTATAGGGTCAATAAAGACTCGAACCCCCGACTCCTAACGTTAGAGCTGTTATTTCGATAACTATGCTAGACGGTCGTCGTCACATTATCATATTTGAACTTAAACATTTTTGCAACTTCATTTGCATCTTTTAGTTCTGGCACAGATCACATAATTACTATACTAGTAAGAGATTCCTCATCCTATTCAAAGAAATTGGACAGCGCTATTTCAGGTTATTCTTCGGGTTATTTTTGTTAGCTTGACAGAATAGATATCATTGTAAAATTCATCCTGCATTCGAATAAAAAAAAACTGTGATTTTAACCATTTTTAACCGTGATAAGCAATTCATAAAATGTGTTTTCCTTTACACACTACGCAATTGGTGTAATATCGTAGCTTTAGTCTTAACTAGATATAATTTTTTTATGAAAGGTTAATTCCACAAGAACTTTTAAATAAACATAACAGTCATATTTTGCAATATTATTATTTGACAAAATTAATATAATGGAGACCTCATCTATACATATAAATAAAATTAAAGAGTCTGTTTTTAATGTCAAAAGAATAGCTTTTTACTAAATACATAATATGAAAGTACATATAATTTTGAGATTTTTATTTTTTTTATTTTTCGATTTTTCCTACTAATCTCCAAAACGGCTGGACCAATTTTAACGGGACTTTCACTTGCAGATAGCTGATGTTATAAAAAGTTCCGCGCAAAAAAAAAACCATGATTATGAACAAAATTTGCGTAACTAGGGAAGCACCCGAGCGAAGCGAGACTAACAATAAGTCGCTAATTCTAAGATAAAATTACCTATTATTAGGTATATACACCATAGTTTCAGGATGATGCAAGTAGTAGTCCGTGGGGTACTCCCATATGGTCGGTCGGCTGGCGTCCGGCACGAACAGGCCTAGGAACAAGTTCATTGTATTTTGCTTCTCCGCGTCGGAAAATGTATTAGAGTAGTAACGACTTAAGGTTTGCATTATGTCGTTGCCATGGGAAGACCAGGGTGCTGTTTTCCGATAAGTCTTTATTCTGTAAAATTATAGAGATAACAAATTTTTAAAATTAATATGTTACATCGACTTCTTTGTTTTTCATTACTTTACTTGTGATGACGTCACATGGGGGTGCTTTTAGTAGATCATAAAAAGTGTTGTGTCTGTCAAAATATTACAATTTTCTCCGTGTAGGTTTCATTCGCCAAGTGGCCTGGTTACGTGTGGCATACGAAAGTGGTTATAAGAACAGTGGTTAGAAGAGGCGGCGTAAGGAAATTAAATAATATCTGCTGCTGGTTTGAAATATTTCTATATAATAAAAAACAACATATAGTGACCAAAGCCAAAAATAATATAAGATATATTATGTACCTATGAACCAGCTGTGATCCTCCATATTGCAACGCTAATGTATCCCCGTGGTCTTCATATAAGCCCTCTAAGAGTCTCGCGCAGTCTGAATCAAATTCAATCACAGGCTCTTCAATAAGACCTAATGCATATAGCTGCAATAAAAAAGATATATTAAAATACAAACTATATGTTTGTGCTGACATTGCATTCTATGACAAATATGACGGGTTCAATTTTAGGACAGTGCCAAATTATATTACAAGCTACTAGCAGAACCCGCGGCTTCGCTCGCATTAAAACTACAAGAAAAAAAACAAATTCTTTGGCTATTATAAGTAATTAATACATAAACACATACAGATTCGATTCAGTTAGAATTATATGTATAGACTAGCATTGCCCGCGGTTCCGCCCGCGTTCAGATAACCAAATTCTTAGGTTTTACATTAGTATACTCTTACATTGCAGTTTTTGTATTTTTTCTCAGAAATGAGACTTTTTCCGCGGTAAAAAGTATCCTATATGTTGACCCGGATAACCAGCTATTCAGGGGTGTTGTAGTGTGTGCGGCAGAGATCCTGCAACGTCCCATTGCACTGCGGCGAAGGGTTCCGCTGTGGGTTTTAGTGAGTAGGAGTCTCACAGTACCTTGCCCGTTATGACGGCGGGCAACCTGGGACCCTCCCCATGATGAGTTTCCCCAGCGACAACAATAAAAAAATTACCAGCTATCACCATACCAAATTTCATCAAAATCCCTCTTGTGGTTTTTCTGTGATGCGGTAACAGACAAACAGACAGACAGACAAAATTTCTAAAAACTATAGATTCGGCCTCTGTATCGATAATAATGTTTATTTCAATAAAATTTTCCAAAAAATATTTGATGTACAGATTCGGCTTAGTTATAATTTTATTATATGTATAGAAGGTATAAAGTATATCTAGATACAGATGTTAAGACAATAGCACGGCAAAATTCATTAAACTAGTTTAAGCCCACACATGGCTCTAAGTAACAAATCTCAACTGCTAACAATAAAATAATCTCTAGTCTACCTATTCAAAAGTACATGTTAAAGTAACAGGCTTAAATAGACAAGAAAAGCAAAAAAACTAATTCCATTTCAAAGATTTTAGACGAGTGTCACTAATTCCTGGCTTCATCACGAGAAAATCAGCTTGATAGTATTTAATCTATCATCATTATAAAGTTTCAAACCGAGATGATAATAAAAAATATTGAAATCGACTTGCTAGTAATATATTATGTACAATATGTATATGTATGTATTATGTATATATATATATATATATACACGTATACATATATATAATAAATGTATGTTAAATAAAGATTAGCCACCTCGACGTACACGGAGATACGCTATCGCATCGCCATATTGAAATTAAGGCGTCATTGGCATGAAACGCTGGACACCGGCTTAATGACTCACTTTTCGCATATCTAATTTGTAAATTATTTTAGCACCTATTACGATAATAAGTTTTTAAAAGTTTTTATATGGACTAACCTGATGAGCCAAAACACATTTCCCAATAGCAAATTGAGCAGTATTAGTTCTATCGAGACAGTCCACACAGTTGACCCGCACGAGGCCCGTCTGAAGCCTACCCGCCTGATGCCCTTCTACTCCCATTTCTTCACCATAGTTTTTCCCACTGAGAAATATACCCGTCCTTCGTACTACCGTTCGAGCTATGGCGGATAATCTGAAAATAATTGTCATAATAATAATGAGGGTGCATATATGGGCCTCTCCTAAACAACCAAACATTTTCGGACTTCACGCATCTTGCAATAAAAAAAAATAAAAAATAAAAAAAAACCACTGCCTAAAAAGCGAACTAAGAAGATGAAAACAAGTTGACGGAGGAACATTGTATTATGTAGTCGGATACATACAAGTTTCATCCTTGCTAAGAGATGTATAAGTACGTTGTCTCCAATCAATGAACCAAAGAACATTAAAATCACAATTAGTGCCATTATATATATTTTAAGTTTACGCTTATTTTAACGCTTTTCAGACTACTTGGAAAAAGTAGATGGTTTTGTGAGATATCCATACTAATGTTATAAATGTGAAAGTTTGTGAGTATAATATATGGATATACTCTTTGGTGCAGTCTTTCACATCAGAACGGCAGAACGGATCTGGATGAAATTTGGCACAGAGATTATAATCTGGAATAACACAGACTTCTTTCTGACTTTTTCCCGTGGTATAGATTTGTTTAAATTTTCCGAGCGAAGCGAGGGCGAGTCTCTAGTACATAATAACTTTAATAAAAAAAAATTATGACTATATACCTCGAGAATAGTATCATATCGGTACTGTAATAGATTTAAGTCAGTAATTTGAAATGAGTGCAAGTGAATTTTTAGTTTAAGTTTTTAAGCTTATACATATGATATAATAATATTATGTATATGAGCACTCACTTGTCAAGCACTTTAGCATCTGCCCCTTTATTCATCCTGGCCATGTCCAAGTGGAAGTACTGAATGGCGTGTTCCGGAGGCAAGAATTGGTTGAGATATTTCACAGCATTACTTATTACTTCTGTTAGTAGAGATTCATGTTTTTTCTTTTCCCTTTTCTTCACTAAATTGAGTATCATAATAGGTGATCCATATCTTTGCATTAGATTGTTGAAATGTTTCGCAGGAATTTCGGCGTATGGGTCGCTGCGATCTATCATAATGGCAGGTTTTGGTACCATTTTAGATATATCCTGTGACCAGAAACTAGGAATCGATCCTCTCATTTGGACAAAGGAACTGAATCTGTAATGTTAATGCAATTCATTTTTTGTTTATGACACAATATGAGGTTTTCATAATAATAAAATTTTATAATCTATAGTCTATACTAATATTATAAAGAGATAAAGTTTGTGATATTGTGAGTTTGTGATGTTATAGGGGTAATCTCCGGATCTACTAAACCGATTTAGATGAAATTTGGTAAGAAAATAGTTTGAGACCCTGGAAAGGACATAGGATATATTTATCCCGGAAATCTATATTTTACATATTTTTATATTTTTATCCGAAAATTTATATATTTTTATCCCTGAATCATCCCTTAAGGGGATAAAAATGGGGATGAAAGTTTGTATGGGGAAGCAAGCTAGGGACGAACCCGAGCGAAGCGAGGGTGAGTCGCTAGTATACATATAAATAGAGAAAAAATAATTTCTTAAGACTGACTGCGACAATCTCATATATTGTATTTTAAACGACAAAACATGTGTGCGGTTTTCATTTTAGGAACAAAGGTATGGGATTAAATGTTTATCACACTTTGTGGGCTAAAACCCAAGATCCCTTTTTAATATGTTTATAAAATTTTAGTACTTTAGTATCTATTTGTTGTTAATTAAAAGATATACAACAAGGCTATATATAAATAAAGATATATTTAAAATATAAAGTATATAATGCTTTATACTTAACATTAAAATGTTTCAACCTATAGCCGCACTAGCCTTTATGCGAGCTAGACGAGTTTTGAAAAACAGTAAACAATGTGATAAAACAAATACCTGCCAGCAGCAAAAGAAGATATCATAGCGTCATGAACGATTTGTTCTGTTTCCACTTCGTTGGCAACATCCCCATGCATGTTGGCTCCTCTCTTCAGGAACCTCGTGCCGGCATATCTATTGCTTCTTCTTGCAATAAGCGTTAAGTATATTGGCCTTCCAAATATGTTCAAATTACTCTGTTCTATAAACCCATGTATGATATAGAGAATCCAATCAGGATGCAATTGGGAATGTACGACCGATAAAAGGTGACTATTCCAAACGAACCTCCATTCTGGAACAGTTCTTACACCAAACTCAAGTTTCGAATTTTGGTTCCTGAAGAATAAAATATAAAAAAAAAATATTTGATCCATGTACCCTGGCGCACATAAACATAAATCTTATAAAACAGTATTGTCTAGTATTCTCATATCGTTGATAGTTGCCACACCCTCGGATTTCTCATTTAGGTATAATTGTAGTGTAAATAGCAATAAACAACATAATTTTGAAATGAAATGCAAAAATTATAGAAACTCATACTCAGAAATATTAATATTTTGTTACCAATTTTTAAGAAAACACTGACAGTGTTGTCAGGTCTTTCATTGGTTCAAAATTCAATTCTTAGGTCAAAAGAAATATTGACCTAATCAGTGGTTGCCGTTTTAAATTTTTGGCAATAGTATTTTATACCTGTGTCCAATTATTTTGATATAAAAAACACTATACAAAAATAAGTAAAATTATATGATTAAAAGCATAGCCAACATGAAAAATAATAATATGAACATATTAGTTACCCAGTCTTATTATGTCTCTCTTGCAGTTGTGTTTTCCAAGTCTCAAATATATCTTCATCACCTTGTTTGCTGGCACAAGTGCATTCTTCTTTCTCAGACTTTAAATTTGATTGATAAACTGCAGCCGTGACTGGTTTTGGAAATAAAGCAGGAGCTAATTTCCTTGGAGGAGCCATATTCATTTGCAAAGTATGAGTGACATCATAGCTATAACTATAGTAAAAATTTGTTGATAGATCTATAGCTAAGAACATTTTTGCATATCTCTGTTCATCTGGATGTGGAGGCTTACTGCTATCATTTGGAATGTATATCATAGCTGTATCTTCAATTTTGTAGATGGAATGTGAACCAATTACAGCTATTTTTCTTCTTTTTGTAACAAGAATTATATAATAACCTTCTAAAAAACGTATGAACCCTGAAAAATAGAATAATAAGAAATAAGTTTAGTTATTTTAACATAATTTCTATTCTTTAACAGAACTAAAAGTAAATACATATATTCAATTGAAAAAGTTCTATATGTAGCAAGGGGTATTTTATAAATGCAATTGAAATATAGCGAATTATGCAGAAAATCGAAAACAAGGGCCTTTTATTTTACTATGTTAAGCCAGGCAGAGCAGAAAGAGATTTTTTTTTTATAGTACTGTTCAGAATCGCTTTATGGGTCTAGTTGCTACTGTTAAAAATTTACATAAATATAATAGTTACCTACAATCCCAAACGCTGAAACAAGTTTATTTAATCCAGGAGATCTGCCACTTCTATTACCAAGCCCAATCATATTTAGTAATTGATGAATTTCTTGTTTATTATATTCAACTTTATCATCAACAAGTATTAATTCCTTTGAATCAGTTCTGTCTATTTTTAAGACACGAAATCGTGTCTGTGTGTTATTAGATCCTATTAAATAAAATCTCTGGAAGTAAAAGTGCGAATTATAAATACTAACATTTGAAATGTAAAGAACTTGCATTGATTAAAAATAATTGATATTTTAAAATATTTTTACTTATTTACACTTTATACTTACGGCTTTAGTTTCATATAAAGCGATTCGTTGGATAGAGCTGATTATGGGATGGAAGATAATATTTTTTTTTGACATTTTGTGTTAATATAATAATAAGGTACGTATTTGAAAAGTGAAACGTTATTTATAGGGTACATATAATTATACAGTAAATTAATTATTTATGTTATATTACAATTTAACACAACATAACTAATAAATATATTACACTTTATATTACGATTAGAAATAAATACTAAATAGTACCTAAATATCTAAATAGTAAATACTTCTATATTTTTTGAAATAGAGTTGACAGCAGTGTTGCCCAGTTACATACTCTATGGTGCTGCCAAGCCAACACTTTAAAGAATACGCGCTAAATTCACTTCAAAAAAACGCTAGGTTTTGGTAGTTATAATTATTTTTAATTAAAATCAACACACAAAGACAAAAATTATCTAGAAATTTATTAGCCAGTCTTCTTCATCGTCAGAAACTTGTTTTTCTGGTACAATTTGCTAACCTACGTAGTTTTGATCATGACTTACATTTTTTATTTTTTAATAAGTAAAGTAACAAAAAATTAACATAGTTAATTTTACAAAAACAGGTAATCGTTTCTAATCTTAAAAAAACGGAGTATAGTGTTTTTGTTTATTTATGTGGCTCTGGATACTCGTTGTTTTATTTATTTTGATCAATTACGTTCGGTTACATATTGATATTTCAAAGAAGAGAAATATAATTTAATTTTTTTATTACGTCAGGCAAGCGTTATTTTTTTAACGTTACTTTTATTACATACTAGCAGATCTCACGGCTACGCTCGCGCTAAAATTATAAAAAACACTAAAAAGGAGTTTTCATACAAACTATTTTATCCCCTTATGCATTGAATTCCGAAAAATGCTAAAACACATATTTATTTAATTGTATTGAAGAGCAATAATACTAATTTTCAAGTAATTCTCATCATAAATATTTTTTCAAGTATTATAACGTGTTTTCCAGTGGGAATTATCTCCCGCGGTAAAAAGTCTATGTCACTCTCCAGCCCTCCAACTATCCCCACACAAAAAATCACGCCAATCTGTCAATCCGTTTCATAGAAGGAATTCCATTCAATAGAAGGACAAACAAACATACAAACAAACACACTTTCACATTTATAATATTAGTATGGATTGTACGACCACAACTTGAAGTCTCTCTGCCAACCTGCTGCGCAAAACACTTTAAACTGACTCGACTCAAGGTGAATTTCTAGTCGTATAATATTTTTGTTTTGAGTCGCGTGCGCCAAATTATGCTCGATCGATTTTGGTGTTAATTTAAATTTTAAATCTTTAATAGTAAAAAAGTATGGCATAATTGACAATATATACTGATGTGTATTCAGCCCTTTTTAACGTCCCAAAAAAAAATAAAAAAAATTTTTTTTTACTAAAGTCTACGTCGATTTTTTTCCTGAGATATTTGACTTTTAATGAAAAAGGATCCTTTTCTTTTAAAACTATAAGTCATATTTCTACAAGGATGTATCATAGTTTTTTTTAATATTTTTTTAAATTTTTTTATGATTTCTTAACAAAACTATGACCATGTAAATATAACTTAATTTTTTTTAATTATATATTTTACTTATGAATAAACAAGATCCGACTATGAATAAATTTCATATAGTTCTGGAATTATCTTAAATTCAAATTTTTCAGAAAAAATCAATAAATTCAGCTCCAAAATCGATCAAATACTAATAAATTATCGATAAATTTGAAAAAATAAAAACATAAATAGATTCTACGGCAAAAAATATAAAGCAATGGTATACATTACATAAATTCCAACTTTTATTATTTTTTCACGACTCGTCAAATTGCAAAGTTGGAATGTTTACGGCGATTGTATAAAAAATAAGCGTGAAATTAAAAACTTAAGGATACCCTTTTATTTTGTTTTTTCCCGAAAAATACATTGGTGTGAGCAGTTTATAAAAATTTGGTCAATAAAGTGCACTTCTTCAATGATAATTGAAAAAAATGTAGTTTACAAAGTAAAAATTATCGATTTCTCCATTTTTTTAAATTTTTAAGGGTGTTTTTACAGGACGACTTTACAATATTTTTATTTTTTCAAAAAGTAAAGTTCAAGACGAAAAGAAGTAGCTGGACATCGGGAGCATTTTACGAATTCCTATTCCTTATAGACCTGCTAATATTTTAAAATCATAAAACCTCAGGTTTTCAATATTTTGTTCTCAAACCGGATTCCGGTTGGACTATATGCGTAGCAAATCCAAATGCAATGCGATCGTTGACATTTATAAAACTAAAGTAATAGATTATTTGTTTGTTAAAACCCGCTAATCTTTGAAAGTTAAGTTTATTTTATATTATAGATAGATGATATATGAGCCTATATTATTCAACAAATAAACGGGCTATCTAATGTAAAAATATTTTTTCAAATCGGATTAGTAGCTCCTGACAAGATTTTTCAAGAGATTAGTGCGTTCAAACAAAGAATCCATCGGTTAGTCGATCGGTTAGGTTGATCACTCGGTCGATAAGTCGGTCGATCAATCGGCCGATCAATTGGTCGATCAGTCGGTCGATCAAGACAAGGATCTAGGAACGAATTTATTTATTGCTGCATATAGGATTTCGTAGAACTTGATGTCATTTCGTTTACACAATTAAATACGCCTAAAGTTTGTAGCCTATCAATATTATTTAAGTATGCTATAATGGATTATGTGGTATCCTAGATGTGAGAATATTACACCACTAGTTTTCTAACTCCAGACTACTTTTAAGAATTTTTTGATAGGTAAATAATTTAAAATTCTTACCTCGATTTAGTAGCATATGCTGCTGTACTAAAGTGTACTATACACTATCCAGTTTGAATAAGCTTAACAATACTTCTCTAAAAACGCAAAAAAATTTAGACGGGCACGAATAGTGAAATATTCATTTCCTGGTGATTGTTTTCCGAACTCAAATAGAGTAACTTTAACGGTCTAAGTTCTGTCTGTGTGGTTTAATTCCGTGACTTGCCGGTAGGGAATCTGCTGACTGCCATTATTTAATAGCAAATACCTATGCTCAAAGGCGAAAAGGTCTAATTTAATTTTTTTTTATATAAGACTGCTTTAGGCATGACGGAGGGGTAAGCCAATACATTGCAAAAATTAGTGTCGCGGAAGTGACAGTCAAATTTATAATTAACTAGCGACTCACCCTCGCTTCGCTCGGGTTCGTCCCTAGTTTGCTTTCCAACACAAATACAAGCCAAGTCAAATCTTAAAGTTGTATGTTTTTATGAAAAAAATCTGGATTATTTACAGAACTTGGCACTCGTTTAGATCTGAATTCTTTTGTCGGTGAAGTTGACAACCACGTATGTTTTATCATTTACATGTTTTTGTTGGGATGTTATGACTTCTTGTAAAGAAACTATTGTTATTCGTAATTCCAAGGTAAATTCAATCTTTTTTTTATAATTTTGCGACTATATTCGTTAATGGATACGGCGGTATAGGAAAATATTATTAAATTATCATGGAACATTTTCTCCTGAGAAAGAAAAAGTATCTATTTACTAATACTATGATAGTTATTGCTATTATATTTCAAAAGGTACTACGTGTTAAGCTATTGCTATTATGTTTGGGAAGGCGCAAGGTCGTAAAATTATTATTTTTTCCAAAATTTAAGAATTTACTGTATTCGGTTTTTTCCTCTTGTATGCACACGATTACCCACCTGGACACAGCTTCGTGTAAATATACACACGGTGCTGCGTCGCCAGTTCCTTTGGCTTGAACTTGGCTGGACACGCTACCGCGTGTCTTGATAAACTAAAATATGATAAATATCGCAAAATTCATTCTTTATTTAATTTGGCTAATTTCAGTGACTTTAATTGTTTTTAACCGTGGTATGCGTGGTTTTCATATACAGTAAAAACTAAAAACTCCATCTCTGAATATGCACGATAAAGTCATTAAATAGATACATATATTGCCATCATGAACGAATTGTGGCTAATTCGTTCATGATTGCTATCTATTGAGATTTATTTGAATTTATTGTACCTGATGAGACCTCATGCTAACATGTAGATTGTAGGTACGGCTGGATTCCCGGGTCGTGCCAATAATAATTATTGGGGTTTTCTGTCACGTTGTTTAAGAGTGAAAGGAATTGAGAATGCACTCGTGTTTGCATGCAATACCTTGCAGTTGGAGACATATGCACACATGTAGCAACTAGCAAGACTCGCAACAAGTATAAAATATGTAGATATCTTACTGCATAATACTATGTATATGTACCATCCTCCGCGGCGGTGTAGACCGGCCCCCGGCCCCGGCAGAGCTCCACCCGATATTTTTTATTGCTAAACGTAACAGCGTCCAAAAGCTATATTTCGTTTATCATTCAAATCCAGTAAATCATAAAAATAGGTACCTAGTTATATTAAATTCCAGTGAAGTTCCTTTTTATTTATTAATTATTATATTTTCTACGTGAAAATAAAAGTTTAGTTAAGATTTCCCGATATTCTCGACACTAATGGAATCTTTATGAAGTATGTACAAGTATTTTCTCTAAACAATGATATATTATGATTTATCTTGGTACCTACCATCCAGATTCCAAAAAATAAAAAATAATTTTACCTATTTATTTCTTAAAGAGGCTTCGACTTCGACATTAATATCGAAGAAACTCCTGCTTATGCCTGATTATTGATAAGTCACTGTTTTTTGCAGAAGTTGGAAGTTCTTATATGTACCTAATAAAGTACGTGTATAAATTAGATTATATTAGACTATATACATAAATTTACAATTTTAATCGTAATTTTCCATCTATCTACTAGGCATCTTTATTGTACAAGTTCATAATTTCAGAAGTTAAAATATTCATACTTTGCTATTACCTATATTGAAACTGGAGATGAGAGATTTACCATAATAAGAAAAATAAATTGCATAATATATGTATAAACAAAACTTCTAGTACATAATTATTACTATGTGGACTTCCAATACTGTGCCTCCTGTGACAAGTGATACAAGTCAAAAAACTACATTTTACTGTAGAGCAAAAACAAGATTTAAAAAATTCTAGTTCGCGTTCTAAGTGGGCTAGGTTAAACTTGAGTACCTTAGTTTGTAGATAAAAACATTCACTTTCACTGTGCATTTAAATTTTTCTGGTAATTATTATAGTTTTAAAGTAATTATTAAAAAAACTGTGAGTTGTACCTTTTTTTATTTCTAGTACATGCTAAAATTACGTGATAAATGGTACAAGTACAGTTAAATTATGTTGCACATATAAGTTGTCGTTGTGTAAATTGATATACATGAAGTAAAAATATCTAATAACTCATTGGAATATGTTCCTAGCGAAATGTTGCTCAAAAAAATGATAAATATACGACCCCAAAGATGAGATTTTTTTACTTATCAGTCCCCTATTTCCAGATTTTAGCTGAATTGTATCACTTTGCTAAAATCTTGGCTTTTTGAAATATGTCTTAATTAATACAACTCAAGTTATACCCCTCACTAAAATGCATATTTATTGTGTAAATAATAGAAGTTTTAGAAAAACAATAATTGTTTATTAAACTTCTTCAAAATCAATAATTCAATTACAAATAAGGCACAGTTTTATCAAAATTCTTAAGAGCGGTAAATTGAGATCTTATCACCATCATTTTAGAATAGGAATGTAACTTAACTATTAGTCTCGGCATGCATCTGGATGACCATGGACCAGCCTCCATGGCTGATGATGTATGCCGATGATATAGCGCTCGCTGATAAGAGCCATGTAGAGCTGGAGCGTAGGGTGAACCTGTGGAAGGGTACGCTTGAGAACGACGGTGTCAAACTAAATGTCGCGAAGACCGAGTATATGGCTTGCGGGAGTCCGCACTCCAGCACCATTCACATAGGGCTTGAAACAGCCGTCAAGCCGAAGAAATTCAGATAGCATCGATCACGAAGTTGAAGCCTGTATAAGGGAAGCTGGAGGTCACAGGTGTGGTTTGTGATCGCAGAATACCGTCCAAGCTCAAGGAACGGATAAACAAGAGCATCATCCGACCAGCCCTTTTATACATACGGAGGCGAGTGCTGGGCAGCGCTATCTCAACACTCTCCGGAGCTTCACGTCACAGTCAAGTTCAGTTGAAGAGCATCTTCTGAGGTGGTGTGGCCATGTCGCGCGTCACAAAATCACCATAACTGGATGAATCTGTAAGGTTCAAATCATCATAGGATTTTTTCAATCATTGTCATTTATATCGTTTGTCTTTTTATTTTTAATAACCATTTCTGTTAAATCCTTTGCATATTTTTCTGATTTTTTGTGTTCGTGGATAGTAGGGACTGGACTTTCTATAGGTTTTACTGGCAGCGATCCTTCAATAAGTTCTCTTACATGATATCCATAGCCATCTTTTACGGTATTATTATTTTGTTCTGTTCGTTCAATTTCAGCTTAAATATGGTTTTGTGAACTCATGTTCGCCATGTGACTACTGGCTAAATCCATAATTTTAGTAATTCGAGATTTCGGAAATGATAATAAAAATAAACGTCTGTAAGAAGGTACATCTACTCGATTCAGTTCGGCAACTACTATTTGCAACTGTCCGTTTAGTGACGGATTGAGAATACTGAAAGTCACCAACCCTACATTCCGAGGGTGTCGTAAAATACGAATAACCACTTGATAGTCCACGCGCTCATCTTAATTGTTTTTGAAGGATCAAGCAAAATCACTGCTCCAAAATCGCGAAAAAAAATCGCATCCCATCATAAAACCCAAAACCAAACCAAATCCCAAAACCACAAAAGTTAGAAGTTTATAGGTGTATCCCAGCACTTGTATCATTTAGCACGTCATTTTCTTCACATTTATGATTTAGATTTGGTTTGAGTTTTAGATACAATTCAATTTATATTCATTTACACATAAAGGTTGATTTGTATAGAAGTAGGATTAATAGGTACATGTTGAATTGTACCCTAATCAATATTGAGAAAAATCTGTTCAAAGTGATATAACTCTAATAATATCAATATTCACGATAAATTTACTAAAAAATAAAATGTGAAAATTAATGCAATCGCACTTATACCACGAAGCACGAAAAATAGCGTGTGCAGCAATTACTTATAGGGGTTACAACTTGAAATATGTCTATATTCACGATATTTTTGCAAATATCCTGCCACTTATATCACTTTGCATAAAATTATCTCCGAAACTATAGTAGATAGAAGTACGTGAGTTAGACAAAAAAAATCCTAATCTTTTTCTGATTATTTCTATGTAAAAATCACAAAAAGGGTACAACTCTACTTATAACACTCATCACAGGGGGCACAGAATAATAAAACCCACTTTCTGAAAAAATATTAATAATATAATTTTGACTTCCGATATACGTAATGAAAAATTCAAATTGTTAAAAAATATACACATAGATAGTTTTAAATATCATAACATAAAACAATATTATTTAAAAAGGTTTTAGGTTTTTACGAATATAAATTTGAAAAAAATATTGAATTAATAAAATATATTACAAATTTTGTTGGGCCTATTTATGACTTTTATTTTGACAATAAATGTGTACCTACTAAAAGTTTTAATAATAAAACACGAGGTGAACGAAAGGCGGGTAGTCATCCTCGTCGTCCGTGACCATCGGTAAAAATATTTCCTTGGAATTTTGAGTTTCATTGAAACTTCTTTTTTCTGTACATTACCACTAAAAATTAAATAATATGATCGATTTGTTTATGCCTTTTCGATCGTTTCTAAAATTTGAAAATGTTTGTACTGATAATAATGTTTTTCGGATGCATTATAAACTAACTGTAATAGTATTACTAGTTTTTACGTTATTAGTTACTTCTAAGCAATTTTTTGGCGATCCTATCCATTGCATGGGCGATAGTGAGAAGGATGGTGATAAAGAAGCGATTAATAGTTACTGCTGGATTTACGGAACCTACACATTAAAAAGTAAACTAATCGGTAAGCCCTGTTTTATGATTTTTTACTTACAAGATAATATATTTTATCGAGTAATTTATTGCAATGTAAATGTTTAAGATTATTAGAATAAACAAATAATTATTGTTAAGGTGCGGAGGGAAAACATAATGTATATGTAGGGGTGGGACCACAAAGCATTAATGATGAGCATATAAAACATACATATTATCAGTGGGTGTGCTTTGTGCTTCTGGGTCAAGCTGCCATGTTTTATACTCCTCGATATCTCTGGAAGATATGGGAAGGTGGTAGACTGAAGGCATTAGCATCTGATTTAGGTAAGACAAATTATTTAAATAATTTTAAAGTAGATAAAAGGATATCATAATATTATCTTTATATTTATTCCAGCTAGTCCTATGGTCTCTAAAGATTGGTCAGAATACAGACGAGGAGAACTGGTATCTTACCTGAACTACACTAACTTGTACACTCACAATATGTATGCACTGCGCTATGCATTTTGTGAGCTACTTAATTTAGTTAATGTGGTAAGTAATTTGAGATCAATTTTTTTGATATGTATACACTTTACAGCAGACTGTGTATTTATTATATAAAATGTTGTTTATATATATAATTAATATTTATTTATTTTTTGTAGGTGGGCCAAATATTTGTTCTTGACCTATTCCTGGGAGGGGCTTTTCGTAACTATGGTGCAGCTGTAGCAGCATTTACTCATACTCCTAGAGTTCCATCAGACTTTTTGGATTTTGCTTCTGTAAACCCTATGGATCAATACTTCCCCAAACTTACTAAGTGTTGGTTTAGAAACTATGGTCCTTCAGGCTCGATACAACTCAAGGATAGGCTTTGTGTATTGCCATTAAATATAGTTAATGAAAAAATATTTGTTATCCTTTGGTTTTGGCTAATATTTCTTGCCTTTGTTTCAACAATTGCAGTGTGCTTTAGATTTTTACTGTTTTCAATACGTCCTCTCCGCACTTTTATGATTATGGGTCAGCTCCGGTTTGTTAAGAGACGTGTTGTTTCTAGGATAACTAAGCATTTTGGATTTGGTGATTGGTTCATCCTGTACTTGTTAGGTAAAAACATGAACCCAATTATTTATAAGGATCTTATAATTGAACTTTCTAAAGAAATAGGAGACATACCTACTATGGTTTAAAATTTGATTGTCAACTATGGAAACAGAAAATAGTAAATTCATGTTCATTATACAGAAGGTATGTTAATTTTATTTAAAACAGGAGATATGTTTTTTTAATTTGTTTATAACAATAAATAATCAGGTCAGCTCACTATAAATACTGTTGAGTCACTTTGTTTATATTCATTGTATTGATTGGGAAAATATTCTACATGTGTAGATTAATTGTAATCATTCACAGCAGGCTGTCAATTATTTTAGTTGTATTAATATAAGTTGTACTTAAATCTTACTTCATGAATACTTAACATTTGATATTAAATATTATGTTTTTCGATAATCATTTTATTTTAAGCACTCGCAACTATTAAAGTTAAAATTAATAGTAAAAAAATATCTTTAAAAACAACCTTTTATTTAAATGCTCTAAAAAGAAGAAAATAAAATTTAAATTAAACCCAACGATTTATTACATTACATAATTTATATGATTAAAAGTTTGTCGTGAGATTTACCTATTTTAAATGTTATGTTCTTTTTTATCTATATATACTTAACTTTTTTTTAAATTTGAAGGTAATCAATATACTTACATTTATTTATTATTAAATATGAGTAAGAAAGGCTGAGGCTTTGATCGATCGAAAATTTCAGATCCTAATATACTGTAGACTGCTAACGGAAATTAACATTTCGTAAATTATTGATGGATAATAAACTCCTAACATATTAAATAATGATAATATTCTCATTCTCTTTTTCTGAGTCCAGATTTGTGAATTATGAACTTTGACACATTATTTGCCACAGAAAATTAATAAGTTGATAATATGATTTATTATGGTATTATAAATTCTAGACATGTGGAAATTGTTATAATAATAAAATACCTATTTATAAAAAACCTAATAATTAATTTTTTTGGTACTTTTTTGATAGATAAAAATAGTTATTGCGAGTGTACCTTAGCTTAGTAGATAGACATATCCATTATCTTCCCCAACGTGTTTTCACCTTGTGGTGGGGGGTTCATTAGCTTCCGGCAATCTAGCCGGGCGCGAAGCCAAGAAACTTACTGGGAGGCTGTCCACCTCGTTGGGTGGTTTGTCATGCGGGTTGCTCCTGGTTCTTTTCTGATGTAGAGTGGACCGGGGGACCAACCCCATGGTTATTGTGGTTATTATACTTCGGCAGACCTGCCGTCCTGGTTGAGTGCGTAAGCGTTTCTGCTTCTTCCATTAAGACGGTGGAGGTTTAGTTGGGTTTAAGTGGGTACCTATTACTAGTTTTGCTGGTGAGTCGCACATAACCACTTGTATGCTTGCAGGTAGTAGGTATGCGTAAATGCATTTAAAGAGATAGACATGACATTGCGGACCGTTCTGTAGGCTTTTTAAGATCTACAATTTTCTAGTACATTGTTTTTATTTGTATCACACCTCGCGGTTAATTTCTAAGAAATCAGGTGTTAACCGAGCCACCTGTGGCTCGGCAGTCGCTGACAGGTTAATGGTTAGCCAGCGTCAGTCAGCTATTTAAACTAAACAGCACTCGACATAACCAGTTATTGTGTTTTCCCGTAGGAATGAAAGATTTTCCTATAGTAAAACGTAGCCTAAATGTTAAGTAATGTTAACACTACACAAAATTTCGTTAAAATCGCTTCAGTAGTTGGCGTGAAGTGCACACTGCCACACTGTTAAACAGACAAAAAATTCAATAACTAATATTTTGGGGTCTCTTCTTTACACGATACGTAACAATCATTGTTTGTACCCGATTGCGGCGAAGCCCAAAGAAGGGTTATGTGTTTGACCTGTATGTGTGTCTGACCCTATGTTCCCTCGTAATTGCTAAACGATTTAAGTGATTTTGATGATTCATACGTTGTTAGATTCGTTTTTATAACACGAGTATCATCTACACTAACTTATACTAATATTATAAAGACGCAGAATTTGGTTGTTTGAACGCGCTAATCTCAGGGACTACTAATCCGATTTGAAAAATTCTTTTTTCATTAGATAACCTATTTATTGAGAAAGGTTTTAGGGCATAGGCTATAATACATCATGCTACTAGTACTACCTAAGGGAGTGGAGCAGTAATATATAGTCTATCTAATCCATACTAACCGTCAAAACGTAGGCTACACACGCATTAGGAACGAACCCGAGCGAGGGTGAGCCGCTAGTACGGTATATAAGTAGATATTAAAAATCAAAATGGCGGATCCTAGTCCGAATCAATCGAGTGGGGTATCAAAATACAAGTTTTTAAGAGGTCATTACAAAAATGTACACATTTTATATGTTTAAAAATAATTTAGGATAAGAAGTTGTTAAAAAAAACTAAATAAAAAAATAATTTACAAGAATTGCTAACCTGACTGCGTGAAAAGCGAACTAAAAAGATGAGAACAAGTTGAGGAAGAAACAGTATTATGCAGTCGGAGACATACATCATATGTATTTGTATATATGTATGTACCTATTTACACTAGCATAAACTAGTTGAATATGACAATATTGGCATAATATTTAGTTATACTTATTTGAGTTATTACATATAAAAAAAAGTTGTAAGGTACCTAATTTGTTGCCATTTTTGAATTTTTTGAAATCATTTTGTAAAATTGTGAGTATATGCACTGTCTGTAAAAAGTATAATTAATATAATGGATCTTTGAGACGTCTAAAACCTTAGTCTCTCCCGTGACCATGATTGCAGTAAAGCATTCGAAATGTCGGGAACCAAAAATCAAAATGAATCCGCGAAAAATTCCGAAAAGATAGTTTTATTTAAGACGCATTAATCATCAAAATTAGTAAATCTGTTTAGAAATTAGAGGGAACATAGAATCGGACCTACATACATACAGGTTAAACACATAGCCCTCCTTTGGGCTTTGCCGCAGTCGAGTAAAAATAATTAGAAACATTTGTTGAATAATGTACGCGTCAATTATAAAAATAGCTACTTAAAACTGATCAATGATGATCAAAATCTACTTATAGACCAGAGTCGATAATTTTTGAAACCAAAAAAAATAATAGTAGGATGCAACCAATTAGAAAAGGAGGGGAATATTATAAAAATGAAAGTAAAAATAATTTACGGGCGATCTGAGGTCGGGAAGGTTAGCTTTTAAGGGTAAAAAACGGTTTTTCTCGATTTCCGGCAAAACTAAAAGTCCTATCGAAAAAAATCAAATGGCAAAGTGTAGGTAATAAAAAGATCTAAAACTTTTGTATTTACACTTTTTTCACATAACCTCAAAATTTATGTGAAAAATTCAAAAAACCAAGTTTTTGGTTTTTTATTTGTATCTTTTACAAAAATGTTTTTGTTTTAACGAAATTTGGTGAAAACTTACCTTTTTATGTCCCAAATACGCTGTAATTTATTTGATTAAAAATATTTATTTTTTCACCTTATTTTGAATTAATATCGAAAAAACAAACAAAAAACTAACAGAAAACACACCAACTTTTTGAAAAAAGCTGATATTTTGACGGGTGAATTTTCGATTGAAAATTAGGGTGCTTTTTCGATATTAATTCAAAATAAGGTGAAAAAATAAATATTTTTAATCAAATAAATTACAGCGTATTTGGACATAAAAAGGTAGGTTTTCACCAAATTTCGTTAAAACAAAAACATTTTTGTAAAAGATAAAAATAAAAAACCAAAAACTTGGTTTTTTGATTTTTTCACATAAATTTTGAGGTTATGTGAAAAAAAAGTAAATACAAAAGTTTTAGATCTTTTTATTACCTACAACTTTGCCATTTGATTTTTTTCAATAGGACTTTTAGTTTCGCCGGAAATCGAGAAAAACCGTGTTTTACCCTTAAAAGCTCCCCCCCACCCCCTTCCCGACCTCAGATCGCCCGTAAATTATTTTTCCTTTCATTTTTATAATATTCCCCTCCTTTTCTAATGGGTTGCATCCTACTATTATTTTTTTTTTCATTTTTATTATTTTTAAAGGCTTCTACCCTGGTCTATTATACAGTATACATATAATAAAATTCTGAGTCAAATCGGTACATTAAGTATTTTGTGAAAAAACTTATTGAAATAGACATTATTATCAATACTGATGCCGAATCTATAGTTTTTAGAATTTTTGTCTGACTGTCTGTCTGTCTGTTACCGCATCACAGAAAAACCACTGGAGGGATTTTGATTCAATTTGGTATGGTAATAGCTGGTTATCCAGGGCAACATATAGAATAATTTTTACCGCGGGAAAATGTCTCATTTCTGAGAAAAATACAAAAACTGCAATGTAAGAGTATACTAATTTGTAAAACCTAAGAATTTGGTTTTTGGTCTGTCTTTTTTAATATATCTTGAACTAGCAATTCTTGAGGGTCTAAACTCTAAACTAATTGCCATTTTTTGTGTTAATGAAATCTATAATGATATTACTAACTAGACGAAATTAAGATATAGCTATTGTTTGGTTCTTAATTGATCTCAGGGTTATTAGGCCAACCTTTTATGCCCTTTTTTATTTATTTTTTACATATTTTTACTATATTATAAATTCACTATATTATCCATTGTTTTCAACAGGGGACTTTTATATCTTAGGGGCACTGGGTGCAGCCCGAAAAGCCTATATATAGATCCGCCTCTGAATGTGACATTCCATTTACCTACCAATGAAAGGTTATAAATTATTTTGCCTAATTTACATGGATTACTAGCATTGCCTGCGGCTCCGCTCGCATTCAGACGATCGAAAACCAAATTCTTAGGTTTTACATATTAATAATATACCAGTTTGATTGTCCATCGCAAGATTGAGAAAATATGCCGGTGATGGGCAAAGCCACTAATGTTTCTCCTTTAATCTCATACATTTAATTTCGTAATATCGCATTTTCCGTTTTAACAACAACATTTATAGTAGGTATGTCTTTACATCTACACTAAGATTGAGGAAATATTCCATATATTTTCAGTCACGTGCTTTGTCTGTTGTTATTTGGACATGCTAGTAA